CCCCAATGGATGAACGTCTATATTGATAACCAGGAAATCCTGCCATTTACTTAAAACTTGAGATATTTTTGAACAGAAAACAGACATTTTCACGGATTTTTTCCAAGGCTTTCACTTTTAACCTGCTCAAAATAGTCTTAAAACAGGAAAAAACGAGTCCAAAAATACCTTACAGTATCTCCATTCAATGGACAAAAGTTTTATAGCAATGAAATGGGCCGTATTTGTGTAATATAATTAAACCAACCAAATTTATAACCTACCTGTACCGATCAGTAATTTTCAGATATCTGCCATCACTGCAGTGATCTGCCATCACTGCCGCCGGTAATACGGTGTGTAAAATGAACCATGGGGGAACACCATAGGTACTCGGAGCAGTAGTAGAATGAGTACTAGCCACATCCACCAGCTGCTGTCTATCAGAAATAAGACGTGAACCATGTAAGAATGTCATTACCTTTGGCAGATGCTAGAAGTTTCATGAAGAATGAAACTGCTTGACCATGACTCAAACGCATGACTGTCAGAAGATCAACTGAGCTATCCGGCAGGCTACACATTTTTTCTATTTAATAATGAACAGTTCTAAACCACAACACATTTCCCCACATATCTACTCTATGAAAAGTCTGTAGTTTGGTTGACTCTGGAGACCTGGAAGTTGAGACCGGTGTCCCTCCATTACAAATTGATAAGACAGAAGCTGTCCTTTTCAAACTATGCACATGTTAGAACAAAAATAGAATAACAATTCAGAATATGACTGTTTGAGACTTTATTAATTTTATTGCTTGATCCAAGTTTAAGGACATTTTCTTCCCTTAAAGGACCAGTACTAACCTACTAGCACAGAGAGTGTGGGATATATATCTATATTGCTATGCAACTGTCCAATGGAATTGCACCATGGACCCTGCCATCACTAGTAATGGACACTAATTTAACCTCAATTCTAGATAGGTCATTATGTAACCTGCCAAATCTCACAAGTTCAGAAGATGAACCACAAAATACAGGCTAAGATTCCTTTAACTCTATTATCGATATTATTATTAGCCAGCTAATTTTGGGTATACACCTTTAACCTGTATACTTATCAATACATGTACATGTATTATCATTTATAGCTTTAAATGAAAGTCCTCCATCAGTTTAATAATAATGTCATAACTCTAACTTTTTAAATACAGAAATATTATAAGTCTCATCATATCCATATACTAAGATATACATGTATGCACTTAAAATTAACAATTTCCAGTTTCTATGAAATAAATATGAAATCCTAACATTAACATTGGTTTTAATGGATGGAATTCAAAATCAAGTAGAAAGAAAACTATAATGTATAAACTCTATTATAGATACTATTATTAGCTTTAAAAACCTATAACCTGTAGACCGATCAATACATGTATTATCATTTTATATAAATTTAGTAAATACAGAAATATTATATCCATATACTAAGATATACATATATGCACATAACATTAATAATTCCCAGTTTCAATTAAAAATAAATATAACATTCTATTAGCATTGGTACTTGGATGGAATTCATAATTTTGTAGAAAGAAAACTATAATGCATAGTATAAAAGTAAAAACAAGAGCACCGCTAGGCAGAGCATTATATGCCCGAAAGTACTTTTTCTTTTAGTAAGGATGAAGCATTTGTAAGACATGGGAATTAAATACAGTATTACCTCCTTCAAAAAGCAATCCTCCTTTATAGCTGAAGAACATTCATGTATATTTTCAAAGCACCACCATCAAGTTGTTATCTTGTATTTAGTAAAAATGCTACAACAGATGGACGAAAAGACGTCAGGTTATAAAGCTGTTAATCCTATAAAATTTCCAGTTTAAAGGTGATAGTAACCTTGATCTTTGACCTTGTGACCCCAAAATCAATAGGGGTCTTCTACCCAATATGGACAATCATTCTATGAAGTTTGAATACTGTGGGCCAAATGGAACATAAGTTATGCTCCGGAAACCATTTTCAGAATTAAGCTAATAGTGACCTTGACCTTTGACCTTGTGACCCCAAAATCAATAGGGGTCTTCTACCTAATATGGGCAATCATCCTATGAAGTTTGAAAACTGTGGGCCAAATGGAACTTAAGTTATGCTGCGGAAACCATTTTCAGTTTTACGGTAATAGTGACCTTGACCTTTGACCGTGTGACCCAAAAATCAGTATTGGTCTTCTACTCAATATGGACAATCATCCTATGAAGTTTGAAAACTGTGGGCCAAATGGAACTTAAGTTATGCTCCGGAAACTATTTTCAGTATTAAGCTCAAAATCAATAAGGGTCTTCTACCCAATATGGACAATCATCCTTTGAAGTTTGAATACAGTGGGCCAAATGTAACTTAAGTTATGCTCCGGAAACCATTTTCAGTATTAAGCTAAAAGTAACCTTAAACTTTGACCTTGTGACCCCAAAATCAATAGGGGTCTTTTACCCAATATGGACAATCATTCTATGAAGTTTGAATACTTAGCGCCAAATAGAACTTAAGTTATGCTCCGGAAACCATTTTCAGTTTTACGGTAATAGTGACCTTGACCTTTGACCTTGTGACCCCAAAATCAATGGGGGTCTTCTACCCAATATGGACAATCATTCTATTAAGTTTGAAAACTGTGGGCCAAATGGAACTTAAGTTGTGCTGTGGAAACCATTTTCAGTTTTACGGTAAAAGTGACCTTGACCTTTGACCCAAAAATCAGTATTGGTCTTCTACTCAATATGGACAATCATTCTATGAAGTTTGAAAACTGTTGGCCAAATGGAACTTAAGTTATGCTCCGAAAACCATTTTCAGTTTTACGGTAATAGTGACTTTGACCTTGTGACCCCAAAATCAATAGGGGTCTTCTACCCAATATGGGGAATCATCCTATGAAGTTTGAATACTGTGGGCCAAATGGAACTTAAGTTATGCTTCGGAAACCATGCAAATTGCTAACGGACGGACAGTCGGACGCAAGGGGGTATAACATAATATGCCCGAAAGTCTTTCGGGCATATAAAAATCTCAAATAGTCTATAACATATAATAATAAAGATTGAGTTGTGTGCGTTGCGTATCTCTTACAGTTACAAATACTGTTCCATTAGACTTTACTATATATAACTAACTGCATATACATTGTATATCAAGTGTTTAAAATTGATAACTTCAGGATTTTATCCTTTCTCTGTTTCAATATATGGACATGAGCACCTAAATGCATAACTTTAATTTTCTAACTTTCATTTTTACCATAGGTTATTTTATTAACAATGTATATACAAACACATAGAAAATGATAATGAGTTTCACATAGTGATTAGAAGATTCCTGCAGCAGAATACCTGTAGGTATGTACTAACTAAACAAACTAGAAAAATCCAGTCTAAGGTATATAAATCCAGTAAAAAATATATCAATATTCACTCCTCAGGGCCTAGAGCTATGCCTTTGATGACCTTACAACTGGTTAATTTTATATAACAAAAATAGTAAGTAATAATCGAGATCAGTGACATTAATAGCATCTAATTGTCTCTGCTGAGATAGACAGAAAAGAACAAATAATTTAGAAAACATGAGTGACTTCCCCTTAAAATAGAGAAAACAACACCCTAAACAGCAAAATTATGAAATGTTGCAGGCTCAGTTTTATTAAGCCATGCAAATTCTTAAAAAGTTAGATAGCCATGTGACAGCAGTAATTGCAGAAAATCGGATAGCTTTCAACATCCGGATACTGGTACACTTTGTAAAAACAATCATTCTGTGCAATAGATAAACGTAATATGGATAAAATCAATAGGATAAAGGTTTATGTCACGGTTCAGAACTGTTCACTATTTAGGGGAAAAGATGTGTAAGCGGCCGGATAGCTCAGTCAGTAGAGTCGCGTTACGGTATTCCGAGGGTGCCGGGTTCGAGTCCCTGTCGGGCTGCACCCTGTGACATTTACAACAGTTCCATTACCAATCTTAATACTCATTTGCAGGTGAACGTTCTTCTTGTAGGAAAACTTTGAAAATATAGAAATGAATGAAAAAGAATACGGCATCAATGTAGACCACAAACAATGGCAACAGTAAGGATCGAACCACAGACCTCTCATCAGACCTATCAGGCATTCTCTTAACCGACTGTGCTATTGTGAATTAATGAAAACCTTGCCATTAAGCTGGCGTGACTTTCAATCCATGACTAATATACTTGACATTAATTCTCGTAAACTACACGGACCAAACCGAAGTGGGACCGAACATTTAAATGAGTCCTATAATGTATTCATAATTGACAGGTCAATAAAATCAGACTATACAAAGTAGTGGCATTGCATTTCACAAATGTAGTTTTGTTCTTTTCACATTTTAAATTTGTAGATTCTGAATCAGTGAACATTCTTTCAATTACATTTTTACAGAAGGTAGTTTTCAGTCATTTATTACAATCATCAGATATCATAGACTTCAATGTTTTTTTTTTCCAAATCCGCATACATTTAGTTACATTTTAGACATTTGTTGATTACAAATTACTGAAAGAATTTCCCCTTTTCCACTGTCAGCTTTTATAGCCTCTCCTATTAGCTCACCATCAGATGTAAACTGTAAAACATTATTGGAGTAATATCCAGATACCAGTACACTACCAGCTTCAGTGACATAACAAGTATCAATGTCTAAAAATTCGCTATTATAATTTGTAACCTTACCATTGTTGTCCAGTACATGTACTATTAGCCCACGTTTCCCATCAGCAAGATAAATCCTTGTAGCATTTTTACTGACACCTTGACCTTTTATTAAAGAGAAAAATATGCCTGAGAGTAGTTGTTTTATTGTGTGGCCTCTACAGAAGATTGGCGACATAAAGGGATCACCTAAATTGTATTTGTGTGCCATAAAAACCAAACCAAACAAAACAAAACTAAGAAAAAAATAATCATAGAAAATTTATATATATTATTGCAGGATCTGGGTTTGCAGTGTTTCCATTAATACGTAAAGATTACCACTGTGATCATGTGATACTACAGAAAAAATTACAGTTTCCATGGAAAACAGATGCTTTTAGAGGCATTGTAGAGGTACTGTCATAATCAGATATGTTTATAAAATTTTTACTTAATACTGAAATGTGATTATATTTTTTTTCTGCTTGTTTATTCCGCTTGTTTATTTTAAATCTTTTTCTTTTACGGTAAAAAAAATGCCTTGCTTAAGCCCAGCTGTGTCAGGATTTTCAAGTTTAATGAAAATAAAATAAACAAGATGGTGAAAAAACTTAGATTTTTTGTTGTTCATTTTATATTCATATTACAACTGTACTCACAATAAGTATAACAAATGTAAAGTTAAATGTTTGTATCATTTTCTAAATTTTAGAATGTAGCTTGGATTGATGTTACAGTACTTGATGAACGAGGTGAACCATTTTGGTGTATAAGGTTTGTTCATATATTTTATGTTCCAATTGTATCATATTATAATTTTTCACTTTTCAATAAAATGTTTTATTTAAAGCAAACAAAAGTTTTTTGATTCTTTATTGAAATTGTTTATCATTTTAGTTGTATATTTTCAGTTCTTTGTCAAGAGTGGGTGAGCAGTGCTTACAAAAAAGTGAGTTATTTTAAAAACCATGTTTTCTGACAGAAAATACATAGTTATGGCAACTTCTCCTACATTTCTGAAAGGATTTCATCCAAATTTTCACTGCAGTATCGTCACTAAATGGCCTTAAATATATTGTCAGGGTTTGGGAGTTGATCACTTTTAGCTCAAAACTATTTTAAGAACAGGGAGAGCTATTGTATGCACCCCTGCATTTCCATAACACTCGGGTTAAGACTATATGTGTGCATTTTTGTATCTTCTAAGCTACTAAAGGCAATGGTTTGAAACTTAAGAGCATAATTTACATATTCCTATATGTCTATATAAAATTTTGTAATTACAACTTTCATGTTATTCTTACAATGACAATTTACATTTGGTGCCAATGGCACTAAATCTGTGTAGGCTTATATGCAACTTTGTTTTTACTTGAAATAGTTAATTCCTATTGATAAACACTTCATTATTTGAATCTTTTTGATTCGGTGAAAATAAATTCATGAGCAATGTGTAAAGCAAGTGTGTTTTTTTCCTCTTTCTTCAATCAACTGAATAAAATGATACATGAATATGACATCATAATAGTTTTGCAAGACCATATAGTATAAATTCAGAATAATTATTTTCAGATTTTGATTTTGACTATTCAAGTGAAGATGTCTACACATTGTCATTTATGGATGAAAGAGGAAAGTTAGAAGCTCAGATGAGCAAGGTAGGTAATAATAATTGGAATCAGAAAATTGTATGCAATTTACTTCCCGTGTTGTTATGTTAAACATAGTCCGTTATGAAGGGGAAAGTAAACTTGAAATTTGCTGGAATAAAGTTAATTGTCTTCTTGCATATGTGTACCTTGTACTGGTGTCAAATTGACACATTTAAGTCAACATGTGTTCACATAAATTCATATAGCTAATTTAATTGAATAATGTACAAATTTACTGACCTTTTAATTGATTTCCATAGCCTTTCTATGTAAAAAAAGTTATTGAAATATTCTTTTGTTCTATTTACTGTCAATAAAACTGAACAAAAATTGAGAGTTAAATTTTTAATGAAAAAGTTGCAGCCTTGAAAAAAAACTTTTAACAAGTTTATTAACCACAGACCAGTTTACTTTTATGATTTGTTTAAATTTTCTATGGTTTTGATAACTAAAATGTGCACTATGGATCAAAACCAAAAATTCTACGGAAATCAGCAAAAGAAGTTCATGGTGGTGTTTTTAGTCACTTTTTGCTAAATAACACGTTTTCTGCACATTTAATGTACTTGCCGCTAAGCATTTCTCCTTTATTGTATTTCAGACTGATGACGACAACTTTTTCATGACAATCTTAAACTTGAAACTCAGTTTAGATAGAATAAATGCTTGGTTTGGCACAACATATAAATGAGCAGCTTACAGGAAGCTTGGTCTCACAGTGGCCACCAATTTGAAATGAGGAGTCTACATACATAAAATGTGTGCTCTTTCAAAAAATACAATAGATATATGATTATATATATGTTTGGATATATGATGCAGATACAGTCAAACCTGTTTTAAAAACCACCTCCATATAAAGAGCACCTTTTGAATAAAGATTATTCTTCAACAAAACTTTGATTGATTTAAAAAACAAAGTTACCTCCAAATAAAGAAAACTTGTCTATAAAGGCCATGTTCAGTATCTCATGTGGATGGCCTCTGTTCACAGGTTTGACTGTATCTGTGTTTCAGATGCAGGATTTTTCAGTATCCAGGATCTCTGTACATGTTTATAGAAAGGAGTTTGATAACAGACATATAATACGTTGCCTAGTATGACATTTTAGATACAATATAGTTTTAATATTATTGTGATATTTAATTATATAATAGTACTGTGATATGGGAGAAATAAAATTATATATATAAGAAACAATTGTGTGTATGATATAGCCTTGATATATGATGTTTAAATTTAATACATGTATATGAGATATAAAATTGATATTTATTCAAATAGAAGCAATAAATATGTTGTCAATTTCCCATGTAAGAAACTGATGTGTTTAGTAACAGATGGCATAAAATATGAATAAAATCATAAAGTTTCAAACATTTTATTTGTCATTTGATATGTAAAAGTAATTCTGAAAATCAATATTTGTTTATGATTTATTGTACATGTATTATATTTGATTTGAATATAAATATCATGCTGTCATCTGATCTTGCCTATTATATCATCTGATAAACTGTATACATGTATTTATTACAATATACTCTTAACTGTTGTTATCGCATGGCTGTGAGCTTTTCCTTTGTTCTTTCTAACCCATTATACTCAGTACACTTCAATGAGCATTTCAAAACTGTATTGATATATAACAGTACAGTTTTTTCAGTGATTCATATAGGGAAAAAAACTCGACTGTTATATATCGGTCGAGTTTTTTTCGCACCTTGTATATATCAATACAGTTTTTTTCATAGAGGCTCTAATGGGGCAGTGGTAACGAACATTCCCAGTAGCAAAAAAAACCATTAAATAATAAAAAAATGAAATCAATAAAATAAAATTAAAACAAATCTATAAATACAATGAAAAATATAAACAAAGATAATTAATGAAATGAAAAAAGCCCTTAAATCTTAAATCAATCTTGTTAACAGTATACAATCCACCTCATATATTGGATGTCTTTTGTATATTTTTTTTTTTGCGGCAGCGAAAACAACTTGAAAAACTGCCTTATGATAAATAACTGTAATGTAGCTAACGATTAATTTATTTATTTGTTTCTATACAAAAAAGAAAACATAATGCCATTGCGATAAAACAGTTATTGTATATGAAACTCGTTAGTTACGGGGGTATAACACTGGCTGGGGCGACATCTCGGGATGTTTCTGCAAAAAAATTGTCTCGGCCTAACGGCCTCGCCATTTTTTAGCAGAAACACCCCTTGATGTCGCCCCAGCCAGTGTTATACCCTCGTAACTAACTCGTTTCATATACTATAACTATTACTTAAATTTATATTTATGGTCAATCGTTTTTAAATAAAACGCTCATGAGTTTTTAATTATGTTTGTTATTTCAATTGACACCTCGACCAACTATTGAAATTCATGAAACCAAAGAAAAACAACAACAACAACAACAACAAAAAACACACTTTCGCACAGCAGTACTTAACATCAAGATGTCCTATCATTTAATACGGATTCAGAAACTGCACACAGATGAAAGAAATTTCAGCATAAATTAATTCACTTTAGTTGCAAATATAGTAAGAATTAATTTATTTTGCTGAACTGTAATTTTAATTTTTCAATCGGAATCCTGTGTTCGTAGTGAGGCCATGTTTTTATCAGTGGATATAACCGTTTTCCCGGACTTTCAAACATCGGTCTTGCATCCCGGTGCCCGTACAGTTTATAGTCGGGCATGATTTCCCCCCGTTGTATACCGCATTCTATAACATTATTAATTGCCTGAAGTGCCTGTCCATTCGGTAGGTCGTCGGTAAAGTCCCCCATTACGGCGATGGCTATCGAGGCGTTGTTCCAGCCAAGAGTGTGGGCGCCAACCCTGGCATAGCCTCGGGCTTCGTACACACCACCATCCTCTCCGACAACAAATGAATACCCAATATCATCCCAGTCTGTGTAATGATAAGAAATAATGCAAAATTTTACATATTTCATACGTGTACAATGTAAGATAAGGCATACAGTATATTTATTCGTAATATGGAAAAGAAAACTTTAATTTTGTCCTAGTGTTTTATGGTTATAATTGTTTATATATTACGTTATAGTCATGAATGGAACAGACAAAGAAATTTGCTGAAAAGGCTGACAGAAATGCAAAGAACAACGTTTATTTATTTTGTAAATGAAGTGTTGGATATTTATTCAAGTTGCAAGTGTATATAGGCGTTACTATAATTTATATCACGTGATGTTTTCTATTGACTCACGTCTGACATCCATATGAAGCTCTTGTACTTTCTGCATTGCCTGCAAACACTGGTTCTGTGTGTAACACCGCTCCATGACTGTATGGTGTATAAATACAATACTGACCGGATTTATTATGTAATTAGCATGACGAGTGTCACGTGCTCCCCATTCAGCACGTGCTATAATATTTGCGCACGGGTCTCGAGGATTCAGCAAACCTCTACTACAGGCTCTACGACCAGCACAACTGGTTGTGATGCGAGGTTGAAATTCCTCTAGATAATGTTTCTTAAAGAGAATGCTGTCGTCATGATCATGTGTGTAAGGATACACATGATCTAGCCCGTAAAGCGTCTCGTCTGAAATACATAGAGGATATTTAAATATTTTTTTCTGTACTTTCATCGGGTGTTATGAAATATGATAATTTTCTTATCACAAGATGAAAATAATTCCTGTATTTATAGAAAAAAACACTTGAATTTTCGGCATATTTATTCAATTTTTCTCTTTTTAGACTTTACAATTTGAAAGACTGCCACTTACATTTTGTGTAAAGAAATGAGATCGGCAAGACACCAGTGAAAATACGGAAAAAATGTTTCAATGCAATGAAAAATATTTTTTTAAGTGAAAATGCGGAAAACGAAAATACATTTTATTTCATCAATATTTCTCAATATTTCATAAATAAGTATATAATGATTAATGAAGAACTTTAATGTGACATTAATTTATGCTCTAATATATTCACTCAGATGCAAAACTGTGCTGAGATTATATTACGTAAAATTCGTTGAAGTTTGAATATGATAATATCCTTTCATACGTTCCTTGTTATTGTCTCTACTGCAGTACAAATAAATGTTTTATCTTTCACAAATTATATAACTATCTCCCGGAATATGAATTAATCGCTTCTTGTTAAAATCATCCTATATAAAAACGAAACATTTTAACTTTTCAACTTTTTGTAGTAAAACGAAAAGTAGAAGTTCACACATCGCTGATGAAATATTAATATTGAAAACGTTTTGTTTAAAATAAGAACACACTAAAAATATATTACCTTTAAAGGCATACGAATGACAGGTAAAAATTGCCAACAAATACGTCGAAAGAGAAACTTTGTACATCTTGATACTCTAACAACTACTTTAGATTGGCCACGTAATTTCAAATATTGTAAATTACTAAATGTTAAAAATAGCAATTGCCGGTTATAATATAATATACTTTGTATCGAAAGCGAAAGAAGATTTTCTCATAGTCGATCATGCGCTTAAGCATAAATCAAATCAACCCGTTTTATTTGTGTTTAGTTCTTTCTGTAGTCAAATATTTACAATATAGTAATTTGACTATTTTTTAAAAAAAAGAAATAAAGCATTACATAGTAAGGTATAGTTCAATATGGTGGGCCGATATATTTTTTACGAGATTCTTTTCAGAGGCTTTATGGTTAAATGAAAAGACCTGAAATCGATAGAAGAACACGATAAACAAATCATGTTGGATAATATGAAAACATTGAAGATAGATTTTTATCTTTTATTACATGTTGATTTGGCAATTAATTTTGGCAATCAGTCTGTCAATATATATTTATTTGCGCTGCGCATTTTCAAGGTTGAACATATTTTTTTTAATAAGAGAACAAACATATTCTACATTTAGATACCGTACAACGTATAAATGAAATGAAGTACACACGTAGTAAAGCTACATTTCTAATAAATAAACATTTCTCATAATAATTATTACCGTGAGAAAAAAATATTCGAAAACGAGGTACCTAGCTGCTCATATATCGGCCATATAATATGTTATCAGTGCAAAGAATCAGACCAAAGAAAAAGTAAAGTAGTAAGCATGAAAAATCTTCGTTTCACCTTTGTAACTGTTGACCTTTGACGAATCATTTCAGGAATTTACACATTTTTTTTATCAAGTTAAAAACATTTAACAGCGCTATCAATATGTAGGTCTATATCGTTCTCATTTTTTTACCAATGATGACCCATTTGTTTAACCTTTTTAAATAGGTGCATATTTCATCAAAATTAAATTTATGAAATTTTTAATCAATCTGTGATCTAGAGCGTTTTTTTGATTTGACAAAAATAACATTGTTATTCGAGTTTTTTGTTATTAGAGTTGTTTTTTAAATTCACCAAAGTGTTAGCTATCAACTTCCGACTTCATTCTAATATTTAACCCTAGTTGAGTTAAACATGTATATTCTTACCTGGTCAATCAACTTTCATCAAGATAGGATAGATGAGTCAGGTGTGAAAGTGAAAACCACCATGTCATAAACATATACCTGTATAAAGACATGTTTATCTTGTATAAAGATAAATGATGAAAGGCCGTTGTTGTTTAATCCTAGCATTGTTGTTTTTTTTTCCTTAAGGAAGACAAATGTTATTTAATCCTAGCACTATTTTTCTGAAGAAACATTAGTTACTTTAATCCTAGTACTGTTATTCTCTTTTCTAAGAAAGATATTTGTAACTTAACCCTAGGACTTTTATTCTCCTTTCTAAGGCATTTGTTTACTTATTCATAGCACTTTTATTTTCTTTTCTGAAGAAAGGCATTTGTTACTTAACCCTTACACTTTTGTTTCCTTTCTTAAGAAAGGCATTTGTTACTTAACCCTAACACTTTTGGTCCCTTTCTGACGAAAGGCATTTGTTACTTAATCCTAACACTTTTGTTTTCTTTCTTAAGAAAGGCATTTGTTACTTAATCCTAACACTTTTGTTTCCTTTCTGAAGAAAGGCATTTGTTACTTAACCCTAACACTTTTGTTTCCTTTCTTAAGAAAGGCATTTGTTACTTAACCCTAACACTTTTGTTTCCTTTCTGAAGAAAGGCATTTGTTACTTAACCCTAACACTTTTGTTTCCTTTCTTAAGAAAGGCATTTGTTACTTAACCCTAACACTTTTGTTTCCTTTCTGAAGAAAGGCATTTGTTACTTAACCCTAACACTTTTGTTTCCTTTCTGAAGAAAAGCATTTGTTACTTAACCCTAACACTTTTGGTCCCTTTCTGATGAAAGGCATTTGTTACTTAGCCTTAACACTTTTGTTTTCTTTCTTAAGAAAGGCATTTGTTACTTAATCCTTACACTTTTGTTTTCTTTCTTAAAGGCATTTGTTACTTAACCCTAACACTTTTGTTTCCTTTATGAAGAAAGGCATTTGTTACTTAACCCTTACACTTTTGTTTCCTTTCTTAAGAAAGGCATTTGTTACTTAACCCTAATACTTTTGTTTCCTTTCTTAAGAAAGGCATTTGTTACTTAACCCTAACACTTTTGTTTCCTTTCTGAAGAAAGGCATTTGTTACTTAACCCTAACAATATTGTTTCCTTTCTGAGGAGGCATTTGTTACTTAACCCTAACACTTTTGGTCCCTTTCTGACGAAAGGCATTTGTTACTTAATCCTAACATTTTTGTTTCCTTTCTGAAGAAAGGCATTTGTTACTTAACCCTAACACTTTTTTCCTTTCTTAAGAAAGGCATTTGTTACTTAACCCTAACACTTTTGTTTCCTTTCTAAAAAAGGGCATTTGTTACTTAATCCTAGTACTTTTGTTCTCTTTTCCAAAGAAAGGTAGTAGTTACTTAAGGCAGTGCTCCCAATAATCGATCTTTATGCAAATAATGAAAACCAATTTTTTTTCCATATTAAATAAGTTATATCAAATATCAACCAATCATTTGGTTATCAATATCAAACCTGCAGGTATTATTATATGATAAATACAAACATATTTCCTTTTCCATACTTTTATTTATGACATAAGAACAATTTGACATTACATTTACATCTTAGATTAAGAGATACAATAACATATAAAACATATAAAGAGTTGGCCCCAATGACCATAAAATATTTTACCACAAAAAAATTGCACAAAATTAACAATAACATGAATATAAAATTTAAAGCCTTCACTTCAGGCGACAATAAAAAATAAATACCTTTAACTTTAATAAAATAGAGGTCTATAGAGTTTAAAACTCAGACCTTCTCAAAAGATATATATGAAAACAAATGTTATGAAGAAACAAGTATTTATGTAAAAAATTCTTCATAATTTACAAAAAAACAACACATTTATTTCCAAACTAGAACCTTACAAATGATATTAAAGATGTTTTAGGTTTGTCAAATCTGATAAAGAAAAGTTATGACCAAATAGTCATTATTTTGACAAACCTATGGGTTACAATTTTCTTTACCAAAATTCATCATTAGTCATGGTGAATTTTCTGATAACAAAAATCAATTTACAGTCACACCTGTTTACAAAGGCCATCAAATGGAAGACAAATAATGGTCTTTATAAACAAGTGGTCTTTATTTGGAAGTTTCTTTATTCCATTTTACCAATGAAGGGTAATCAGTGTGGCCTTTATTTGCAGGGTTTATTCAGATGTGGTGTTTAACACAGGCTTGACTGTATTTGTTAGATAACCGGCTTACTCTATAAAAAAACAATAAAAATACGTCCGGTTAGCTCAATAGGTAGGAGTTGGGCTGTGATTTGGGCTATCCAGGTTCGATTCGCTGACGGTGCAGGTCACTTTCATTGTGATTGATCATGAAATCTTTCTACAGTCATTTGCACTGTACCTCTGCTCTTGCATGTAAATAAGTTTCAGTTCCTTGCTAAAGTGAAGGCAACTATAGTACAGGTAAACTGCTTGACAGCTTGCCCAGGAATGATGCGGTGGCTGAACTGTGCTCTGGTAATTTCAATGTGGCTTACTGCCGTGATCTGAAGTGAAAACTAATTACACACTAAAAGATTCGGTACGAGTTTGTCAGAAAACTTTATAAACTATATATTGATGATCTCCAATCTGTGTTGCAAGGCTTTTATTATGCTTATTTATTTTTATTCAAGGAAGGATGATCAGCCACTCAAGACACATTACACAGTAGGTGTGAAGACTTCGAGTATGTCACCAGGTTAAGCGATTTAAGGTCAAAATGGTGAAGCTCTGTACAAAGCTCACAGAAATATAATTTAAGAAAAAATGCACAACTGTCTTAATTCATAATTAGGTGAAAGTCCTTGTTAAGATTTGTTCATTGCACCAAGTATCATTTCATGAATGTAGCGACATAACAAAGTTGTCTTCGTCTAGTTTCTCTATTTTTTGACTGTACTTTTACAAAATGTTGTAAGAGATTGTGAAAGTCTATCTCAGACACTGCCGTGTTCCTCTTGGATGTATCATAACTGGAACCCCTGTAAAAAAAAAGCGTAAATACCTCTAAGTTTGTATGCATAACACATTTATACATCAAACTCTAAACTCATTCATGATTTTTCCCCCAATCATTTATGAAGTACCACAAACTAATGATAGGGTCATGTATATTTTAGGAACAAAATATGAATGTCTATGGAACCAAAAACATATCATTAGAACTTTGAAAATTACATTGTTTATATATTTTGCATATTTTACTTTTTTTCCCGAAACTGACTGAGAATAACATAAATATGCCAAATCTTGTATTGTGGTCATTCTCAAGTGAGACTGAAGAGAAAATAACTGAATCAAATACATGTTTACATGCATTTAACTGCAGCACTTCTAGTGGTGAAAATAACACCCAATGGTATACCACTGGTACATATAGGACAAGACCAGTTTGCATCCACTGGTATACCACTGGTACATATAGGACAAGACCAGTTTGCATCCACTGGTATACCACTGGTACATATAGGACAAGACCAGTTTGCATCCACTGGTATACCACTGGTACGTATAGGACAAGACCAGTTTGCATCCACTGGTATACCACTGGTACATATAGGACAAGACCAGTTTGCACCCACTGGTATACCACTGGTACATATAGGGCAAGACCAGTTTGCATCCACTGGTATACCACTGGTACATATAGGGCAAGACCAGTTTGCATCCACTGGTATACCACTGGTACATATAGGACAAGACCAGTTTGCATATCTATGCAATCTGACAAGACTTCATAATATTGGTTACTCACTTTTGGTAATTTGATATTGAAATCCCTTTACACAGCTAATGAACTGTTCTTCTGCCACTCATAAAATATTTCTTTTCATACCACTCAATGAAAATAGATTCCTTATATACATTTAATAAATGACATTGATAAACAACTGGGGAAGATACCTACTTGTTACCTATGGCTGCCATTTGAAAGTGGGGTATACAATTGAGTCTGTTACGTAATAAAGTAAATGGTTCTGCTTGCGGTAGTAACATCAGTAAACCATATAAACTTTTGATAAGGTCTTGATTTTTGTCAGAATCTAGAAGTTGTAATCTCAAATCTGGTAAATAAAAATAACACACATAATAAGTATAAGTTCAAGAATAGCTTAAATACATGCATTTTTGTAAAGAAAATAAATAAAATTCAGCTAATTGATAATCAAAAGTCATTATTGTGATAAATAACAAGAGCATCCCATACAGTACGTGTTAACACTTGACTGTTAAAAATACGAATATAAAAAGGGGCATAACTCCAAATTATTGCTTTCAGAATTATGCGTCTTGTCATGACATGCAAGTAATCAAAGTGATATATTGATAACTTTTGAATTGTTTGAATAAAGGGCTACATTAAAGTTTTTGCACAACAACAACAACGCTGTGGCAGCGATTGTACTAGCTTGACTTTTTCTTCGAAAATGACAAACTTAAATGACATGCACAACTAGACATGTACTGACCATTCTGTAAAGTTTGGATAAAATTGCACCAACCTGAAGTTTTGGAAAAGTTTTGTGACAGACAGAATGATGGATGGATGGACAGACGATGGAGAAGGGATCCCTTTATGTCGTTACTACTCAGTAGCAGGTGACACAAAAAACAATAGAAGGTGACTGTATATTTTACTCACATGCAAAGATAGGTGATTCTATAAGCTGAATAAGTTTGTCTATTTCATTGAGAAATTCCACAGTTATCTCTAAATTTCCACTGTAACATTGTCAAGGAAACAATGAATTACATAAATGTACAGTAATTGTTTGAACTGAACCTTAAAATATGGTAAATGTTCTTTATACAGAATTCGAAATATGATATAATAATTTCTACTGATAGCCCTTTACATACTTAAGAGTGATACTAATACTGCCATCTGCTTACATTTCATCATCTTAGCGAATAACAGAATAAGTCCTTCTAAATTTAATAGGAGTTAATGACTTATTGCAGTAAGGCGACAATTTGTAGCTATGTGTTTCAGTTTTGTAACTCCTAATATTTACATTTGAACAGTTCAAACATTCAGACAGGGCAAGAAGTCTGCACAAATCAACAAGATTAAGTTAAAAGAAAAGATTAAGATCATATCCCTCAAAGTACTCTCAATTACTTCCTGACTTTTCTGTTAAATGAAAATCATCCAAGACATTATCTTACTAAAGTTCAGATCTTCTAATAATTGCATATAAGGTAGCACTTTTTAGGAACTGATCTAAATCAGATTTCTGTCTACTGATTAACTTTTGTATATGAGGAAAAAATTATTAAACTTACACAAATTTAATATTCTATTTATCACATCCCAAGAATAAAGACACAACACTAACACAAATGACGTCAGGACAAAACATATGCACAGCTGTGCAATACCATTTTTATAGAGTCGCAAAAGCGGCACAGGTATGTGATAAATGGCTTTATTACACTCATGTTATTTGGTAAGTTAAGGATACAATACAGGTAGTAGACTACAAGCATGTGTGTAATTCTGTGTGAGGTAACATAAAGCCAATGTTGCCACAGCACTGTGAGACCAACATTTATATAGACAGCAGAATAACTGACAACTTTCCTGAAATATAGGAAAAATAACAGCATGAGTTATCCAAACTCCTGAAATATATAAACAAGAGGGCCATGATGGCCCTGAGGACGCTCACCTGTATATAGGGCCCCCCCCCCCAACCAAACCCCCCCCCTCCCCCCAACGTTGCAGAGCCAATTTAACCCAAGGGCTTTTATTTGCACAAACTTGTAGACACCCCATAAGAAGATGTTTCATGCTAAACATTTAAGCTCTAGCTCATTGGGCTTTTTAAAAGAAGATTTTTTTTAAGTTTTACTATACACATATAGTTAAAAACAATGACACCCCTGGGCCGGGCCAGTTTTGACCCCAGGGCTTTTATTTGAACAAACTTTGTAGACACTTACTAGAAGATGTTTCATGCTTAATATCTAAACTCTAGCTATTTGGGTTTTTCAAAGAAGATTTAAAGTTTTTGCTAAACACATATAAAGAAAATCAATGACCCCGGGGCGGGGCCAATTTTGACCCCTGGGCTTGTAATTGAACAAACTTGGTAGACACCTATTAGAACATGTTTGATGCTCAATATCTTAGCCATAGCTCTTTGAGTTCTTTAAAAGAAGATTTTTTAAGTTTTTACTATATGCATATAGGGAAAATCAATGACCCCCCGGGGCGGGGCCAATTTTCACCCCAGGGCTTTTATTTGAACAAACTTGGTAGACATCCATTAGAACATGTTTCATGCTAAATATCTTAGCTCTAGCTCTTTGGGTTCTTTAAAAGAAGATTTTTTAAGTTTTTACTATATGCATATAGGGAAAATCAATGACCCCCCGGGGCGGGGCCAATTTTGACCCCAGGGCTTTTATTTGAACAAACTTGGTAGACACACACTAGAAGATGTTTCATGCCAAATATCTAAGCTCTAGCTCTTTGAGTTCTTTAAAAGAAGATTTTTAAGTTTTTACTATATGCATATAGGGAAAATCAATGACCCCCGGGGCGGGGCCAATTTTCACCCCAGGGTTTTTATTTGAACAAACTTGGTAGACACCCATTAGAACATGTTTCATGCTAAATATCTTAGCTCTAGCTCTTTGGGTTCTTTAAAAGAAGATTTTATAAGTTTTTACTATATGCATATAGGGAAAATCAATGACCCCCGGGGCGGGGCCAATTTTCACCCCAGGACTTTTATTTGAACAAACTTGGTAGACACCCATTAGAACATGTTTCATGCTAAATATCTTAGCTCTAGCTCTTTGGGTTCTTTAAAAGAAGATTTTATAAGTTTTTACTATATGCATATAGGGAAAATCAATGACCCCCCGGGGCAGGGCCAATTTTGACCCCAGGGCTTTTATTTGAACAAACTTGGTAGACACTCACTAGAAGATGTTTCATGCCAAATATCTAAGCTCTAGCTCTAATGGTTTTTTAAAAGAAGATATTTAAAGTTTTTTCTTTCGGTTGCCATGGCAACCAGAGTTTTGCATGGAATTAAATTCTTTGAACAATTTTTAAAGGTGACCACCAAAGGAACATTCCTGTGAAGTTTGGATGAAATTGGCTTAGTGGTTTATGAGGAGATGTCATTTAAAGTAAAAGTTTATGGACGGACGTACGGACGCCGGACGGACGGACGCCGGACGAAAAGCGATCACAAAAGCTCACCCTGTCACTTTGTGACAGGTGAGCTAAAAAAACACTGTCCATATTCCAGAAATATGTGAATTGTAACTGCAAAAACACTGTCCAGATTACTGAAATATATAAATTGTAACAGCAAAAACACTGTCCTGATTCCTGAAATATATGAATTGTAACAGCCAAAACATTGTCCAGATTCCTGAAATATATGAATTGTTACAGCAAAACCTCTTGAAAAAAACCTTTATTGGGTCTTGAAATATATAAATTATAACATCAATACCACCCTGGCTTCTGTAATACAGGAATTCAAACTTCTGACAAATCTTTGCTGCAACATTTTAATTTACCAATTTCTAGATACTAAAACAACATGCAATAAAATAATCTATTAATTGCTATATTAAATGCATGTTATGTATTAAACTAGGGTCTGAGGTTATAAAGATATTATCTAAGCTGAAACTCAGATCCCAGGTATTCGGTGGGTCAGAAACTGTCATAAAATTTACACTGACCAATGAAAATCCTGAAAGAACTAAGAAAAAAGTTTTATAAACACAGGGTAAGGCCAGTGCATCTACCTTAGAATTGAGATCTTTTAGTTGATTTCTCAGCTCAAATAGTTCCGTAGATGTGAGCAATATAGTGTTGAGTGTATGAACCATGGTACAGGCAAACTTCACATCCTCTTCTACCATCAATATTTCAGCTAATGACTGGAATATATCCTCTGAACACAGTAGTAAACACAACTGTCTGAAATTATAGCAAAAATTGAGTTACCATGTGTCTCTCTGTATATTAAATAGGTAAAACTTCACCCTGATTGCTTATTCTATGAAACCTCTAAATACAGACCATTTGTCTTTAAAGACCATGTTTTGTCTCTCCCTTGGTTGGCGTTTTTTCACAGGAATGTCTATACTTATCAAATTCTACATAATCACATAAACTGTGGCGCAGGAGTGTAATAAAGCCATTTAATAAAAACAATATTACACTAGTGTAATCGGCGATGAATTTCATTATAATTTCATTTGAAATCGTAAGTATCATGCGCACTTAATTTATCGATAACATTCATATTCTATATAGAAAAAATAAAATCAAAGCCAAAATTATTTTGATACGTAACATTCAATTAAAAATGAAATGAAACGAAATACTACACTTTGGAAAAAAATACTACTCTTTGAAAAAGGTCGCGAAAAAATGGTTAAGTCATATCAGCCAACTAAAAATATAACAACGATCCGAACATCCGGATGTATCCGAATGTTTGATTTGGATATCCGGATGGCCGTTGCGGCTCCAGATGACATCCCTATAAAATGTTATATTTGTGTAGTTACAATACTAAATTTATTGAAATTGTTGAATAGAACAATATTATGCTTGCCTGAGGCTTGCATATTATGATTTTATTCAACTCGTTCAATAAATTTAGTTTTAAACTACTCTCATTCAATATCCTCAATGTAGTTATTTAAGATAGGACACAATATCTTTACTCTTTATGATTTAGGTCATAATCAAACTTTTCTAAGATTTGGCAAAATGCAGCCCTTAAAAATTATATTGTTCAACATTTCACTACTAAGAGAATAGATCATTGGCTATAGATCACTGGCTACAGGTTTAGGAGTTTCCCTGCATTAAATATCACCACCAAGATCAAACTCAACTTTTCCTTCTTTCTTTCCCAAGTGTGCTTGTAGCTAAAAGACACAGTGGAAAAAATTAAATCAAAACTTCATCCTGGTTGCCAACAGTTTAAGTTTATCCCTTGTGTCCATTACACAAAAGCGGCAGGATAAAATAAAATCTACATCTATAGGAATAAAGAACAAGGTTTACTAAGCACCAAAAATGGCCCTATCTTAGATATTGAGATAAAAACCTTGGTATGGTATAACACATCCCCTAACTCCTAACTGTTATACAGTATGATAATATCAATAGAAAACCTTTTAAAATACACACCGTATAATAAATGCCCCTCTCCTATCCAGAATCAATCCATCTTTTTTGAATAATTTTAATAATTGCACCATAAATTCCATGAAATATTCATTGACTGAAGCACTTTTTGATGTGAAATTGTCATGAGCATGTTTGTCTGAGCCTTCTTTACCTTCAAGCATTGAAGAGTATTTTGTGGAATCTTTTGTTACATCACTAAGTGAAGATTGACTATCTGGTGAAGTATCTTTGTCTTTAAATGAGACTTGATATGAAATTATCTTTGCTAATGTTAAGCTAAAATTGCTGAAAAACATAAATACAATGCGAATTCATGAACTTAATTTCAAAAATACAGGTAAAAAAAATATAATTTATTTGGACATAATTACTTTACTTCTAATTTCTAAATATGCGCAGTTGAAAATGATGCTTAGAAGGAAGTTTCAATATAAGCAATACTGTTGAGTCTTTATCTTTGATTAATATGGTTCTCTAATGTTGAATTTTTCATTAGATAAGGTCAATAATGTTGTGTTGTTTATTACCCATTTCCAACAGTATTCAGTCATATAGGCGGGTAGTTTCCTAACCATCGTTCCTGGAGAGTTACACCAGTACTAGACAACCTTCCTCCGCGCTAAACTACCAAAGCCTAAATAATATTTCACAGTAACATTCATGTGGTGTGTTCTCACAAAGAAACCCCTCACCTGAAAATTTTAAAGAGTGGACAAAACACCGCACATTTTGAGTAGTGGCGTTTTGATGTGTGGCATTTATTCCTATTTCATTATTACAATATTTATAAGGTTTTATTATTAGATTTAATGAAACACTGAACTAAATGGCCACATAATATAAAACAAAATTAGGAACAATTAAACTGAATCAGGAAGTAAAACATCATCATAACATACTTCATCTGTCTGGCTAATATCTGCAAGTGCATTCATGAGTACCGGAAATACCAAATTCATATGTCGGAATGTCTGAAATGATAGAATATAAAATATAAATAAACAAATTTTATTTTGAGCAGTGGTTCTGTAATTTTATTGGATGATACATTAATTATTGAAGCATATTTCTTCTGTACATAATAAAATAAATTGACACCAACAGTATAGGGCAGGTCGAAACAGTACTTGCATGAGATTTTACCAGGCTATAGCTTGATTTTAAACTTCCTGTTATTTACAGTGAAAAGTTCCTATAAAATTTAAAGCAGAACAAGTTCATTTTACATACTAGTAAGTGTGCTCAGTGAACACATTTTGCCTGAATCAACAAATTAAGCAGTTGTATTGTGGGATGATTGGACAATTTGCTGTTAAATTTATATTAAAATTTATATTAAAGGGCCATAACTCTAACAAAAATCAATGAACTGGATAATTCCAACAGTATGCACAACTACACCTGGTACTGATCATTCCTGTTAAGTTCAGATGAAATTGTTTCTTATTGTTATTTTTAGGAGTAGCCCTGACAAGCTTTTTAGCAGACGGACAGACAACATAGAAGTGACCCTTATATGTTGCAGGTACTCTGTAGCAAGTGACATAAAAATCAGCTCATAAAGGATTGAGTTAAAACATTGTTATGATAATACTTACCTTATTTGGAACTTTGACTAGTAAATGTTTGAACCATTTGAGTGAAGCAATTCTGGTTTGGAAGTCTTTCTCTTTGACTAACTTGCACAATACATTGATCACTGATAGGACATCTAAATGCACTGACCTGAAGGAGAAAACCTTTTATAACACATTGTCTTTCATGTCTAACTTTTCAAATTGTCCAATGAACAAGCTATATTTGAAGCTATAATGAATGCCATGGTTCCAGGGGTGACCTTGACCTTGACCCCATGACATCACAGTGGGTCAGCTGAGTAAACTTCATCAAGAAGCATGCAAGTAAGTGGGAGGACTTCAGTGTTATGGTCAAGGTTAAAGTGTAATGACAAAATAAACAAATTGACAAAAATAATATGAACATGTCATTTCAAACAACAGTATTAATTCAATTCTTATTAAATTCTTAATGAAAAGAGTATATTGTTAATTAATGTCAGTTATAAAAAGATTATACAAAATGATTTGATATACATCTATAAACATTCGAATTATATATATTAACCTTTCAAAGGAGGCACAAAATTAATAAGGTGGAAATAATATTTCTGGATATCTTTTAAAATTGTCCCTACTTTTTATTTCTTTTACTTCCAACAAGGCAGTTATTACAGTTATCCCACCACAGAGCAATCTATTTGCAAACAAGATGAGTATGCCTGTTTCTGGGATATGAAATAATTTATTGCTATTTATTTATTTTTTTAATGGTATTTTTATCACATTTAAGTTTGAGGCTTGTAAAATCATTTTTCACAACATTCCTTTTCTTCCTCACTATTAAAGATTTATATACATTGAGTGAATAAAGCATCCACCTGTTATACATGTAGTAAATTGACTATAATTCTTAGAAATATCCCATGCAAAAAGCATTGTATTAATGTTACAAAAACAGTGCTTGAGGTGAAAAAAATAGGTATAACATAAATACTGGTATTGTCATGTAATCTTTATGATATTAAAATTTTCAAAGGGTAAGTAAATAAGCAAAAAGTGAACTAGACTACTGTAATGGCTATAATATCATGTATAGGCTAAAATATTTTTCTATCTGTTCTTAAATTTGCTAGTGACAGTACCCTTTTTAATGACAAAGTATAAGGTACCAATTGTACCAATTGTACTGCATTTTCTTAAAAACAAAGCTACCAGCTAATTGGACAGAAATACAGCAACAGAAATGGCATTGTCCAAAATACATAAAAGAGTATAAATAAAGAAAACAGAAAAAAAATCATAATATACTTTCCAATCTGCAAAAGACTGCACAACAAAACGGAAACTTTTGGGGATACATGCATATTAAAAGGACTCCACTGAGGTTTTTTGACATGACGGGACTAAATATATTTTTTCCAGATAAATGTACCATTTAATGTAGGTTTAGACCTCTAATCTGTGCGCAAAATGCACTCTCTACTGTAATATACTTTCTACTGTAATAATTATAATATAGTGAATTCTAACACAACCCGCATTTTTCCCTATTGAACATAGAAGAACCAAAAGCTATAAAATCACCGTTTGACGTTCTATATTTAGACATGTGATGTAATCATTATACATGTGACATAACCACTGTAAAATCCGACGCAATGATAATAAGTATGGAAACAAATAAGGCGCAATTTTGCTTAATATCAGGTACGGCATCATTTATTTGATGATGTCGTGTTAGAATCAAAATAATATATCCAAATCGGTGATTTTATCGCTGGATAACATCAATGTTTGTCGTTCGGATGCACATCATTATATCACTCGGGCTAAGCCCTCGTGATATAATTCCACGCATCCTAACTCCAAACAGTGATGTTATTGAAAGATAAAATCACAGTTTGGGATATATTATTTCTTAAATAAAGATGCTGAAAAAGCAGAAAAAGTTAAACGGATCCATTCCTAACAAACAAGTTTTAAAGGGACTCCACTGAGGTCTCCTTGATACAACAGGCCAAATAATATTTTTTTCAAGATTTGTGTACCATTTGATGTAGATCTGTACCAATAATTTGTCTGCAAAAGTTTAGATCATAAGCTCTCCTCATTCTCCCCAAATAATCATTTTTTTGTGCAAAATGACCCAAAATGAAAAGTCTTTATAACGCTTTTTGCTTAAACTAGGCTCAAATCTCATAAAAATCAAGTATAGATTTAAAGTGAGTGTATTAAAAAAAAAATATTTTTGCATGCGTTGTCCTGTTTTAAGTGCCACAGTAAATCTATGTTAGAATTAATTTCTATTTTATGTTTTTCTGCTTTTGGACTGCAGTGGAGTTCCTTTAATCTATACCAGTGTTAAAGAAAGAAGAAATGCATATACAAAATTTTATAAAAACCACTACCACATGCACATTACTCAGCTAACACTGCATGCAATATCTTACCCAGCCTGGATATCACATGCTGTTATCTTATATACTCTTTTTTCTCTGAAAATAATAAACCTTACATGATAATTCTTTATATTTCTTCTAAAAAATACATGTTTTTGCAAATTATCAATTCATTTGCTTTAATAACAGTGCTTTTACAACATGACATGTTATGATGTGCAAGGGGAAAATGACCAATGGTGCAGATTTTACTCCTTTTTTTTCAATAACTTTTCAAATATTTCCTTTTTATAAATCAAACTAGAACTATCACTAAATGTGATTAATACCCCCACAAGACTGCTTCGGAAATGAGGATGTTACTAGTAACAGAATTCCTTGTAAAAGAATTGAAATAGAGTTATGGTTGTGGGCAATTAAAGATAGTTGTGGTTCTTGCATGTTGCATTTCCTTTCAATGTGGTAGGTCATTGATGAAGTTTTATTGAATTACTCTGTAATAAGTCCAGAAAGACAAGGAAAAGAAACAATGGGCAATAACTCTATAAATACTGAAGATGGAGTTACAGTTATTGTACACTGCACTTCCTCTCATTGCGCTTGACCATTGTATGAAGTTCAACTACTAGTTTTCAAGTTATGAATTGGACAAAAAAGTAACAAAGGGCAATAACTGTAATTAGTCCAAATAGAGTTATGGTTCTTGTGCACTGCACTTCATCTCACTGCTCTTGACCATTGCATAAAGTTTCATTGAATTCCAACCATTAATTTTCAAGTTACTCACTGGACAATAAAAAGTAAAAAAGGGCAAAAACTTTTAAATGAGTCAAAAAAGAGTTATGGTTTCTGTGCACTGCGCTTCCTCTCAATATACTTGACCATTGTATGAAATTGTATTGAATTCCAACTAGTAGTTTTCAAGTTATGCTCTGGACAAGAAAAAAGCAATGGAAAAGTAACAAAGGGCAACAACTCTATAATTACTCTGGACAGAGTTATAGTTCTTGTGCACTGCACTTCCTCTTATTGTGCTTGACCATTGTATGAAGTTGTTTTGAGTTCCAACCAGTACGTTTTAAGTTATGCCCCTGACAAGGAAAAGTATCAAAGGGCAGTAAATCTGTATTTTGTCGAAAAGAAGTTATGGCTAATGTGCACTGCACTTTCTTTTAATGTCCTTGACAACTTCATGTAGTGGTATTGAATTCCAACCAGTAGTTTTCAAGTTATGCTCCGGACAAGGAAAAGTAACAAAGGGCAATAACTCTGTAATTAGTCAAGATGGAGTTATGGTTCTTGTGCACTGCACTTCCTCTCAATGTGCTTGACCATTGTATGAAGTTATATTGAATTCCAACCATTAGTCTTCAAGTTATGCTCCGGACAAAAAAAGCAATGGAAAAGTAACAAAGGGCAATAACTCTGTAATTAGTCAAGATGGAGTTATGGTTCTTGTGCACTGCACTTAACCTTATTGTGCTTGACCATTGTATGAAGTTGTTTTGAATTCCAACCAGTAGTTTTCAAGTTATGCTCCGGACAAGGAAAAGTAACAAAGGGCAGTAACTCTGTAATAAGTCAAGATGGAGTTATGGTTCTTGTGCACTGCACTTCCTCTCAATGTGCTTGACCATTGTATAAAGTTATATTGAATTCCAACAATTAGTCTTCAAGTTATGGTCCGGACAAAAGAAAGCAATGGAAAAGTAACAAAGGGCAATAACTCTGTAATTACTTTAGATAGAGTTATGGTTCTTGTGCACTTAACTTCCCCTTATTGTGTTTGACAATTTTATGAAGTTGTTTTGAATTGAAAGTTATGCCCCGGACAAGGAAAAGTTACAAAGGGCAATAACTCTGTAATTAGTCAAGATATAGTTATGGTTCTTAGGCACTGCACTTCATCTCAATGGTCTTGACCATTGTATGTAGTTATATTGCATTCCAACCATTAGTCTTCAAGTTATGCTCCGGACAAGGAAAATGCAACGGACGGCTGGACTGACCGACCACCGGGTGACTCCTATATACCCCCCCAAATGGGGGTATAATAAAGTGATGAACCTCTTATTATAGTATGTAACACATACTGATATCATGTTCCCACATGACATTCCATGATGTGTGAGAGGGCAAAAAACCAATATAATAGAAAGTGCAGATTTTACTCATTTTTTTTTCATTAACTTTTTAAATATTTCATCATTTTAATCAAATTTAAGTGTAGAACCTCTTATTATAGTAAGTAATACATACCTAGAATGTTTTTTGAAGAAAAAAAAGTTTTTGAACATAGCTTTACTTTACAAAGTAAAGATTTTTTTCCCTACGAAACATTGTATGTATGGGTTTTACAATAGAATGAGCAAGCTTGTCACTTTATCCTTAAAAATTAATTCAATATTTAAAGAGTTATGGCAGAAAATAAAACCAAGACTGTCTTTGAAATTGCCTTTCTGCTACAGGCAGATCACAAAATCAGAAAGGCAAAGCAACACAAGTAGTGAAATAATATTTTTTGAATGTTTTTCAGCATTGTCTAACTCTGTGTTTGCTGTAAGGCAATTTGAAGTGATGTTATACCATGTTGTCTAGGAATTTATTACAGCTACAAAAATTTGCACTCACATGTAACAGTTCAAAATATCTGCTAGATAAACTGAAATAAATCTTTTATAGTCTATTTGCTAAAATTGGTTCACCAATGATTCCACCAAGGACTAGGGATTCTTTCATGAGAGGAAGCTTTCCAGCTAGCTTAGGAAATGTTGGTGCCTGTATGTGGTTTTTTTCTACTAGAGGAAGATCTCAAGTGCTCCTCTGTGCATTATGTAGATGCTCCTGTTTGCAGTATTCAGACACAAGTTGTCACCTGAGTTAAACCACTAACCTTCAATAAGCTAGCTGAATAACTTTGTCACATGAAAAAATCCAAAGTCTCTGATGGAATTTCAAACCCACATTGACTAGGGTCAAGTGATTTGAAGTTTACTCCTTCAAGCGCCAACTATAGATTACAAAGTGAGAGATAAATCATATCTAAACTGACAGAAAAAGGAGGCATACTATTGACTAACACAAAGGTTCTAAATCATTTATGAGAAAGATTACACCTGAAATCCTCTATATGACATATCAAACTACATGTATCAAGCTCTAAAAAGGTCAACTTATTAAAACATCTTTATAAAGAACAGCCCGGATATATGACTACAGACTTACTACAGGAATATATGCATTTCAGATATTAACCCTTAACCTGCTGAATTTCTTAATGGACTCGTCCGGTTTCCATTTTTGGATTTGTTCATTATGAATTTTACAGATATCAAAATGAAAAATCAGTCAGGCAATGATATAGTCCCTGGTCAGATACATATATGGAAGCTGGCCTGGCTCTATAACGTTGGAAAAGGCTAATCAATTTTGGTTCCAGCAGGGTCAAGTTTATGTAAATATACCAGAAATTTGTTTTTAAAAGATACTCATTATGGAAAAGAAGACTAGTATTCTACAAGTATTTTATTCAGATATCATATAAAACAGCATGCAGAGTCATATTATCTTTTTTTAAAATTTTTTTAAATATTATTGTAAATTCTAACATGACCCACATTTTCCCCTATCGAACATAGAAGAACTGAAAATGTGTGCGAAAATATGCAATAAAATCTCAGCTGATAAACTATATTTAGACATGTGACGTAACCATTAAAAATGTGAAATGCTCAAAATAAATATGGCTCAATATCATGTTCGACAGCATTTATTTGTTGAAGTCATATAAATATCATGCCATCGAAAGTCATCGAAATAATATATATCCAAAGCAGTGATTTTATCGCTTGATAAAATCACTGTGTGTCGTTTGGATGTGCATCATTATATTTACGCCCTTGTTATATAGTTCCTCACATCTGATCTCCAAACAGTGATTTTATTGCGACTAGTGATTTTATTTAGCAATAAAATCAATGTTGGGGGATATAATAATTATTATTTTTTAAATCTCACTTAATATGACAAACTTACCTGAATAATTATATATATATGTATGAATGCAAGAATGATAATGTGGGTAGACATTTATGCATAGATTGATATTACTCTAATTGACTATTTGCGTCCTAACAAGACATTTCAGAAAAAATATAATACCTTATCTTCAGTTTTCTATTCATTTTAAAACTGTAAATGATATAGACTCCTTTCAATTAAGAAATCAACTTCCTTTTTTACAACTTCACAATAGGAAATGCATCATTTATGAAAGTAAGACTGAAAGTTACTTTCCTGTTTTAATAATATGTATTGAAGACACCAAAAAAACAAGACTTGATAGGGATCTAAATATGGTACATTTATGATTGAGTATAGTTTAATGTATAAAACGCATAATTTAATATGACGACAGTATAGTGTTTTATCAAACAGGAAATTAAATCATTTTTCAATAACAATAAACAACAACAACAACAAGAGAAAATATCTGAAAACTAGAAACACATTATTATTGCCCTGTTTAGTAAGTAAAGAATACATGGATAAAAATTAAATCTGTACTTCTAATTTCAAGTACATGGTTTAAAAGAAAAGCAAGACAATAATTGTACATTGATCTAAAAATATTTGTCAGTATACATATCATTTAAGTTCAACTGCTAGAAAACACATCTCATGTACATTGTATAGTCTTTACATGTCCATGAAAACTGAAACATATGAGCCAAGTCACCACAAAACCAACATAATGGGTTTGCGATCAGCATGGATCCAGACCAGCCTGCGCATCCGCGCAGTCTGATCAGGATCCATGCTGTTCGCTTACCAACCCTATTACAAGTACAGAAACTGATAGGGAACAGCATGGATCCTGATCAGAATGCGTTGATGCGCAGGCTAGTCTTGATCCATGCTGGTCGCAAACCCATTATGTTGGTTTTGTCATGACACGGCTCAATTATGTTCTCATTCATAACATCATCAAATCATGACATCATATTCTTCTGTTAGAAAATAATTATGTAAAATTTTATCAATTTTTTTATGATATGTTTAGATATTCCTGTGCTTCTCATAATCAAGCACATTCTACTCACGACAGAGGGTATTTCTGACAACATTTCCTCTTATCTAAGATATTAAATTCTTTTCATTCCCATTCAGAAATAGTCCGACTAGTCTACTGTCTACTGTAAACTTTATATTTTATAATTTCATTGTTAAATTATCAAAATATAAATTGACTTTCTACTGAAAAGCATGTTATAAAAGGCAATAGTTTTTGTTAGTTTTTGATTACATTCAAACTGTTATCACAATCAACTGCTTACAGTAATCATAATGTTATACTGTGAATTCACCTAATTTCGTGGACATGAAATTTCGTGATTTTGTCTCTTTTTCGTGGGTTTTTAAATTCGTGGACCGTTTATTTTTCCAAAAGGCACAATGTAAATAATGTGATGCAACATAATCTTACAGCAGACAAAATGAAATTTTGTTGGAAGTGGATCGACCTATTCACGAAAATTAGTACCCCACAAATAATAATCATTTTACAGTGTCTTGCAAGTTGAAAATGATAAACAAGTTACATAATAATTAAGTGTAAGAGCTGTGTTGGAGAAAGTGAAAATCAATTAACTAAAAAAGCCATTTTTCTATGTTTATATCTTTGGTGAAATCTTAACCTTTTTTACGTAACTTTTACAAAATATTTTATTTTGTTAAGTTTAACCTTTTAGGGCATCAGCAAGTAAAGCGAAAAAGTGGTTTGATTGATTTAGTTTCATCCTATGTTGTTTAAGAAATATTAAGTTATTCACATTTCTTTTCAGTTTCAATGGTATCTTATCTTGATTTTTTAAAGTCCGAACAATATACAATATTTAACACCAAGTTGACTTATACATTTTATTTCTACACTGCAAACACATTTAATAAACGTTTAAGCTTTATTTATGTGAAATTTATAGACATATCATTGCCAGTAAGTTTGACTTACATATCTTCCGAATCAATTTCAGCTTCGTCACCATTAGAAGAAGTTACCTCCCCTTTCTGTGAAACTATAATTTCTCTATTATCTGAAGTGATCTCCCCTGATTGACTCTCCTGTGAAGGAGTCCCACTTGCAGGTGTAGGTGTATCATCTAGCTCCTCAATTAAGTCCATCAACAATTTGTTCAGACTCTCCGCAGCTTCCTTCACACTGTTATAGTGAAAATTATGCAAATTTGATTGTACAATGCATAGCAATGTTATGGTCAGAACAAAAAATCAAACTGATACCTAAGTATAAAGATAACATGCAATTCTAAAAGATAGTGTACATGTACCTACATCATATATGCCAAGTCCAGGACGTCACTAAAATAGCCTATAAATTATGGCATGTATGACCTAAGTTATGTGTAAAGATGTCAATTTTCAATTAATTGATTCAAAACCTTGACACATTTTTAACATTTTTTTCTTTAACAAAACTTTAGAAATATTTCAGGAAATAAAAAAATTCATAGTTTGTACTATAAACATATTGATTCTTAGTTTAACAGATGGTCCTGGGACACACTTTTAATTCTATATAACCAACCAAACGATTTTGTTCATAATAAAAGGAAATAATTCATACTTTTTCCTGCTTTTGGTATCAATATCATTGGTCACAAAACGAGGGAGTATTGCATGCAAGATTCCCGACAGAAATGGCAACATTGACCTTCCAGCAAGGACGACAAATTCCTTCAACCAGGTAATTGCAGTATAGCTTATCATATCATCTGAAACAAATACATGTGCCATCCAAATATTTATAGTAGCAATGCAATTAATGTGTTTTCATGTACATGTACCAAATGCTTTAATAACAAGAGCTGTCGTTAGGACAGTGTGCTTGACTATTCTCAGTGCTTGATAGTGAAACAAGAGCGTATTTAATGTAGAATTTCTTATGTTCAAGTTCAAAAAGGACCATTATTCTGTCAAAATCTATGTAATAGAGTTATAGGCCTTGGATAGTGACCTGTTATCCTCTCAAATATGTGCCTATTCCTTTCAGTAGTGTTGGAGCTACCAACTTGCAAGCAAAAACTTGTGTGCTGCTGGAGCCTGGGTGAATACAATAGTTCTCCCTATTCTTTGAATAGTCAAGCTAAATATTGTCTTTTTACATGCATATACCGAAAGCTATTCAGAGAGTGCTGAATTTACAGCATCTTTCAGATCTGGCTATGATTATAATTATTTGATCTCGGAATATGCCACATATCGTTATTTGATCTCAAAATATGCCAAGTATCCTTATTTGATCTCAAAACATGCCACATATCTACATGCTTATAATGGCAATAATGATACTTTGCAAAACAATAATCTTTATCTTGCTGAATTTCTTAAAATGAACTTGTCTGGCATCCTTTTTTGGGGGAATGTTAATTGTTAATTTTAGAGATATCAAGATGAATATTTTCTAATTAGTCTGCTAACACTAACAGTTTTGATCTGTTTAGAAATTAAGATGAGCTGTCACTCACTTCAAGAACAGATTTTACACAAGACTTAGTGAAACTATCATAGCAGTCTTTCAAATATAACACAAGTGACAAGAAATTGTAACAAAACCAGGTTTTTTTCCACTTCTACATATGCATGAAAAAAAGGGGACATAATGCTGCTAAAAATGATCAAATAAAATGAAAACAATATACATGTAGATTATAGCTCTTGAAGTTTACCATAATGTAAGTTAACATTAAATGACATACCATGTAAATTTTCACTATGAATAACAAGTATGTTGGCCATTTGAGCATAGTTTACATATCCTTGTGACTTCTTTATACTACTCAAAAACTCACGCAAAGCACCCTGACACCTGAAAGAGAAAAACTTAAATTACTTATATTTTCCAACCATGCAATTCTGTATCAATTTAATATTATTAAGTCTCATTAAGTACTTGTTGAAAAAATATAAGTAGGGCACTTTTGTCCCAACTTAATTTGCCTTTTAAAGTGGGGCATATATATATTTCACTATGACCTTAACCTTTAACATTAAAATCCACATGAAGTCATCTGAAAGCCATTGGCAATGTCCAAATTATGTGGGAAATTGTTATTATTATTATTTCTCTAGTTAATGGTGGGCCCTTGACATTCTAACTTTATGTACAAACATATAGACAGACCACCCAATAACAGTAAGCTCCCAACTTTTGACGTGGGGACATAAAAAAGTTGTTATTATTTTAAATATTTTAAAGTAAATGCACTACAAAAAGTTAAGCATAGGTTGCAATGCCAATAATTATGTACACAGTATATTTAATATAAATTCCATATATTACTTACATTTTTTTAATCTCTTGGTTTGAGTCCCCTAAAATTTCAAAAAGACCATCCAGAAACTCTGGCAACAAAACCAACATGTTGATGTCAGGCACCGCATCTAATGTTATAATCTACAAAAGATAAATTCATTCAGGTGCTTTTTATATAAACATTGCAAACAAAAATACAACATGTAGTGCTATTTTTATATTCACTTGTATTCATTCTCGATTTCTTCTCATAATGCTTGTCTGTAAAAAATTCAAGGTTAAAATACGGCTACTCCAAAAATATTGCTTTCAGAATTATACCCCTCTTCTAACAACTTGCCATGATAAGCAAGTATTTCAAATTTCATGTTGATAACTTAAAATGTTTGAATAATCATTATGGGCTACACGAAAGTTTCTCGATGACAATGAAGCAATCAAAATAGCTTGACTTTTTCTTTGAAACAGACACTCTAGTAAACCATAACAAACTAGCATATTTCATGTATTTACATTAGATAATCAGTGCAGCCTGCTATTTTCCTTAAATTAACCAATTTCAACCATCATAGGTCACTGTAAAAAACAGTCATACTTTATTAACTCCTGCTTTTATAATGACATACATTTAAGTAACTAGTCTCATTTTTATTGAGTGTTAAACATACTTGTTTATCACCCAGCTTTAATGAGGTCAGCTTTCCTCATTCCTTATTTTAAGTATGTTCCTCATACATGAAAATGGCAGTGTAACAATAAAAATAATAACCTCTCTTCAACTCTTACAACACTAAATATCTTAAATAGACTTGTCGATATTTCAATCTGGACAAAACCATTCATTATTTTTAGGGAACATTTCAAAATAACTACTGATTGAATGACAAACAGCGCAGACCATGATTAGGCAGCACAGATGTGTAGGCTTATATCGGTCAGTACTAGTTGCTATGGTATAATCAGTTGCCTCTTGCAAGTTTGGGGATAATTCAATCCATGCTTGTCTTAAGACAAAATGACTTACCCATGAAACCAGAAACTGCCTAGCACTTGGATTTTTGTTGTAGATTCTCTCCCTTAGTAATGGTACAAATGACACAAGATCAAAGGAAGAACTCTCTGTGACAATATCCTGTAAAATAAAATAAATTATATCATATGAGTGACTTATGAGAGATGTTTAAAGAAAGCAAGGAAATTTGATGGACATCAAGGAACCTGCCAATAAAAGTTTGATGATGATAATTAGTAGGGAGATACTTTTGAAGGCTATTAAGCATTTCAGTAAGATCTCAGACCTATGAATAATATTTGTTGTTACAGGGAGTAAGCATAACCACATCTGGTTATGGAGCTGATTTGCAATGAACAACCTCTGTGAGCAAATAGCATGAAAGTAAAAATACAGATGAAATTTTTTTTAAAAATAACAAAATTCATAATTAAAAGAAATTTTACTTAAGATTACAGTGGAAAAAAAGTATTTTTCAATTTGTTAAGAAAAACTGTGTTTTTCACCATAATCCAATTTGAAACACATGAAAAAACCATTTTTTCAGATCATTTGCTTTTTTAAAAATGTAAAATAAAGGAACCTTAGTGTTTTACCTTTATAAGTCTGTCAAGAAGTTCTGTTCCACTCTTCACATTTTGATCAGGATCTGATGCTAACTAAATACAAAACAAAAATAGTCTACAGAATGTATCTTATACAGTACAATGTACATTAATGCATACCTGATCATTAAAGGGACTCCACTGAGATTTTTTGACATGATGACGTGACTGGAAATCATTTTTGGAGATTAACTGTCAATTGATGTAGGTCTTAACCAATAATTTGTATGCAAAATTTTTGATCATTTGCTCACTCTGTTATTTGAGAATAATTATTTTAATTGTGAAAAACTACCAAAAATTGAAAAGTGTTGTACTCAAATCGGGCCAAGGTAGCACTAAAAATACAATTTTCAATTTATTCCTGTGTATATTTTCTTAATAATATCTTATTATTTTGCATATCTTCCTCATTTAAGTGCCTAAGTAAGTCTATGTAAGAATTTCAAATTTATAAGTTTTTAGGTTTTCAGACCTCAGAGGAGTTCCTTTAATGTAGCTGATGGAAATGTTTTAGAAATAAGTGAAAAGAAAATTCATCTGAAGCCATTAACATTCATTAAATACACAAAACAAGATATCAGTGGCATGTAGCTGAAAATGATTATATTTGATTGTGAAATACATGTATCAATAATCTCATGTAAAATCTCAATACAGAGAAGAAATTATTATGTGAAGATATAAAAAGTTGTTTTTTTATCATATCGACAAAAATCACATAATCTGACAATCTTTATTAAATTATTAACTGTTTAACATCTGACTGATAAATGCATGCCTGTTGTCTATAAACATATAAGAGAGATTAGACAGAAAAGGGAGATAGATAGGTAAAATGGCAGAATAGATACTTTAAGTGACAAAATTAGGAAATAGATACATGTATCAATTTTGAGTGCATTGTTGTAGAATAATGCATGGTTCAAGGTAAAATGTGAAGGAATATAATCACGAAGGCTAATACAAAGCATTTAAATGATAAACCTTGCATTATTATACTATAATGCAAGCAAAATTAAAGATATACTATGCTCAAATTAGATATCAGAAAATATTGATAATTGCTACACAGTCTCTTTGTAAATATGAAATAAACAGGTTTTGACTTCACACAAAGTTGATATGTCATGTTATAAACTCTATACACTATAGGTCCTCACAATATGAATATAAAGTGTTATTAAAAAACCTGACAGTTTTTTTAAGAAAAAAAATTTTATTAAAAACGAGCATTTAAAATTTTAAATAAAATGATTTTTTTTTAAAATAAAATTAAAGAGTTAAAAATAAAATTTGAGGAAATAAAAACCAAAAGGCCTTTTGGGCCAAGGTGGTTTACCCGCATTTAAAAGGTACTTTTCTTAAAAAAAATAAAAATAAAATGAAGGGAAAAAATAACCTATCCTACAACTAAACTGCTATATTGGGAAAATTAATTTTTGTAGAGGGTATTTTAAAATTTTTAAAGAAAAAAATTTTGCATTTGGGTTTTTATGAATTTTTCTGTCAATAGGGCTTCCTTTTATGCTTTCCCAAATGTTACTTACCTTGCTATTTTGTTACTTAGAGCATCAAATATTTCATTAAAGAATGGTAGAACTGATCCTCTTGTTACTTTGACGATGTTGTACAGTGCTTCACATGAGTAGTATCGTACCTGGCTGTCTGAATCTCGAAAACAAGCAAGTACAGGCTTAACAAGCTCGTTAACATATTTATTAGAGTCCTGAAATAAAAGCAATTTTTTTTTTAATGTTATTACACTATTAAATGTTGCAGCTATCCTTTTTTTTGGAAAATATGTATGCATCATCAGAAAAATAATGATTTTGAATATCAGTATGCCAAAAATTTGTCTAAATAGGAAAAATAATAAAAAAGTAATTGTTTTAAAATCTTAAATTGATAAGTACATGTATAATCAGTATGCAGTGTCATAATAACATATTAACACAAGTAGTATAAATAAGATTATATTCAGGCAGAAAACAAATTGTACATATTCAAATAATCTTCATCTATCAGGCATTTCTTATAGCCATCATCCCTTCTTGAAGTAATTAAATGATTTACCTTTCCTAATGCAATAGCAGCAGCTGCAAGACCAATCAGTCCACCTTTACGGGAATTTGGATTACTAGACAAGGCAAAATTGTCTCCAAGGACCTTCAAAACAGCTTTAACATTATGATCTTGCTGGCTTGACACATATTCTTTCACCATTCTAAAGAAAAGAAATCTTACAATTTAATGCATGTTGATTTAATACTCCATCTCTGAGTGAAGATGAAAAATAGCACTTTAGCCAAAAATAGTACTACATACTTGCATAGATTATATCGCATGTACTTTGCTAAGCTTTAATCACATAAATTAGTTTTTATTGTTATACTAACATTATAAAATTATTTAATTTCAGATTAATCCTAAAAAATAATCTTAATAGTATATACATGTAGCAACCTCACTCACTGAAAAAGACAGTATTACATAGGAAGTACATTTAAGAAAAAGTAACATAAAAAAGTAACATAAATTAAATGATAAGGTTACACAAGTTTACTTGTAATGAGAATAAGCAAGAGGGTCATGGTGGTCCTGTATGACTCACTAAAGATACATTCATGAAAAAAGTAAGTGATTAGGTCACACTTGTTGTGCTATTTTTTTCTGCAGCTGCATAATTTATACAACATTTAGTTTTGTAGATGACAATGAAAGGAAAATTAATGTTATATATCTAAGTTCTTTGCACATTCAAAACTTAAATGTATTTTACTTTATAAGCTAAGCAACCCCTAGATATTCCTGATCTGACAGGTAAGATTTTCATAAGTTTGTAGCAGACCAAAAGGTGATGCTAAATTCCAAATATCTTTATGCCAGGCATTCATTGTTGTCGTTTTCCACAAGAAGATTTAAATGTGTTTTCTTATGTTAATCATTCCTATGGAGATTGGTCAAAATCCATCTGCATTGATGGATGTTAGTCGTCAAACTAATGCGAGTAAGCGTGACTGAGGAAAATGTGCTACCTGACGAGAACTTGAACAAGGATCACTCAGAATACCTTACCTCAGCTTTATCAACTTATCTACCTGGCCACTTTCATACTTTCTCTCCTAATTAGAGAACAGTTCTATACCTTCACTACTCCCTCTTTAAAGTGAATTTATTCACCCTAAAATGTCTCATGGGTACAGAGAAGGGCCTTTAGCAAATTCTCTGAAACTATATTTTTAAGCCAATTTTTTCGGAAAATTTTTGAATAATGGGAAAAAAAATTTGCAAAATTTTTTACCAAATTTACTCCCAAACGCATGATTTATTGGGAAGGACATTTACCTCCGGGACATTTTTGGCCTTTCCAATTTCCCCTTCCTAAATAGTGAATAGAAATTTAAACGGGTCAAATTTCAATACTTGGGGGAAAAGAGTGAAAGTCCCAATACCAGTCAGTAGACCCGGGAAACTTTTCGGGTCCCGGGGTTTGGTCCAGGTAAACTACTTTTTTCTCACCGTACATTTGGCCCAATGGGGGGTTGTGACACATAAATTAAAGCTCAGCGTTTAATTAGCATTGCTCTGTAGACTTGTGAAATTTGAGGACAAATTCCAATGTTGCAGGGAAGAATGTCATGGTTCAGAACTGTGACTATTTAGGGGAGAAGATGTGTAAGGAGCAGGATAGCTCAGTTGGTAGAGCTGCAGAACAGGATTCCCAGGTTCGAGTCCTGATCAGGTAGTCCAACTACTGGTCAGGCTGCACACTTTTCTCAACCTGTGACAGTTACATACAACGAAATGAAGCAAATCCAATACTTAGATACAAGTTATGACGATATAACATTAAAGCTCTACATGGCAATGCTTCAAAAAGCAAAGCTGCAGGTGATAGAAATACCATAAAAATCTTACTTTTCAACTTCCAATGCCCCCACTTTTCTTTTTTCATACAATTTGTCGTTCAAAGAGCGAACGCAAACGGTTGTCAGAGGTGCAAATTCTTTATCAACCATGATTGACAATAAAGGAATATCACTGAAAATATATCATAAAATATAATTGAATAAATTATCGTTTCCGCATAAAATCCACCATTTTGATGTCATGTGACTGACCAAGATTACTGCAATAAAACTCGTATGGTGCCGTTTAGAATACCGTATTACACATTTAATCAACATAACTGGAACGAGCATTTGCGCAAAACCATCAAAGTGATGTTTTTATTACAAATACATGTATAAAATAGACAGAAGCATTTAAAGAAAGATTTGGAAAGTAAGTGCAACAAGAAAATTAAGAAGAGAATATTTTCCGTATATACCGGATACTGGATATCATAAAACTGAATATCACAGCAAGCAACTCTCACGGGAAAATGTAAATAAATTAACAACAATACAGACGGTAATTTATTTAAAACCGCTATATCTATTTTATTTTTTTTACATATAAATAGTTGTAGGAGCAAACACAATGCAGTAGATCTACTTTTTCTAACAGAAAAATAAAGAGCAAAAGTAAAAGTTTGACATCAACAAAGCGTGTTAGAACATTAGATGATCTGTCAGTGTCATATTATTTCTTGCAATACTCATGATACTGTATTAGACTATTCTAGGTTTAATTGAACTTCAGTGCCTTAAATATTTCTTTATTAGCATTTTTTAAAGAACATTTATAAATGTTTCAGATAGTAAATTGATAAGTTGAAATGACAAGTTGAAGTTTGGCTTCATTTAACAATGTTTAACTAGGGGTCTTTCAAATAGAAAGACCCTGTTAAGCTTGAAGTCTTGGTGCTTTTCAGCATATCACTTTTTAGATTGTGAACTGGAACATAAAACATAACGTGATGCTAATCTCCAGTTTCAAGTCCTGTTATCATATGTCCCCACTGTGACAGGACGGGTCTGCTACAAACTTTACTTGTCAGGGACCAGCAAAACCTGACAACTGTCAGACCTGCAGGGCCCCGTAAATGTTTAATTTAAGAAATAATATATCCCTTTCAGTGATTTTATTGCTTAATAAAACCACAGTTTGGAGTGAGAAATTATATCACAAGGGCGTAACCCGAGTGATGTAATGCTATGGCATAATGCATTCGAACGACAAATTGGAATTTAGTTTTACTAATTAAGATATTGTAAAAAATTCAATGGTGTGTTGCAGAAAAATCTTGCACAAGGTACAACTTGTGTTTTATTAAAGAAAAAATGACAATTCTTAAACTTAAACAGCAAATTTATATTATAATATTCACCTTAGACTTGATCTTTACAATATACATGTGTATATGCTTTTATTATTGTTTTATTTCAGTTATACAAATGTAACAATGGTGGTTGGTAACAATATAGTAGTACCTGTGGTGCTGTGGGGTAAAAATGCCCCTACTCACTGTATATCAGCAATATATATGACACCAGATATGAAGAATATTGTTACAGCTTGTAATGATGCACAACTTTGTGTTTGGGACATGTCACCAAATTGGGAGGTAGTGTTTTGTTTTATGACATTTCTTGTATTGAAAAGTAGAGATGTTTGAATGGTGATTATTTTGTATCATTAATCAGTCAGTATAATTATTCTTATATTTGTGATTTGTCATAATCTGAATTCTGTTCACTAGTTTTGTTATGTTTATTATAATAATCCAGACAAAATTGGTAATTCAATATATTGCATAGTCAGAACATATGGTACATATTCTGTATATACCATGTTCAATATACATGCAGAAATATTTACCAATATTGGTATACAGTAAATAGACTTGGTTACTGAGGATGAAAATGTTAAAATGACAATTATAAAATTCCAAGCATTCTGAAAACTGAAGTGAATAAACCCTTTTGTACATTCTGTTTCGAAGACTCAGTTTATTAATATTACAAACATAAAAATTGTTACTTACTGGATTTTATCCTTGTAATACAAACATGCTGCATTGTAACTATTGTCACAAACACTGGTATGGTTTGATTGATTATTACAGGTATATCCACGTCACATGTTGTTTGGTCACACTGCTGCGATATCATGTCTGGCACCAGCCTCGGCACAGCATGGAAACACAAGGGTTGTCAGTGCTTCAGAAAATGGGTATTTCTTCATTCTTTATTTCATAGATATTTATCGTGACCTTATTTATCACAAACTTGATTTGCATCACCTTTAGCAAAATAGTTACATCATTTTTCTTGGCTTTAAATAAATTGAATCTCACCTATAAGGGTTAAAATCCTGCTTGCTCAGGATGTTAAATTGTAATTTATATAAATAAGGGACCAGTCAAGTTCAAGCTGCCAGACACACTGCCTTAGCAATATCTTAAGAAGAATTATACATTTAAACAAGAAATGATGAAATTAATACACAAATATCTGCGGCTGCGTTCAAATGTTTGTAAATTTACTAAACACCTATGATAAAATGTATGAATACTAGGGATAAACTTAGATTTGATTTTGAAGCATGCATTTTAGATATAGATAATATTTTACATGTACTCTGTTTGTTTCAGAGAGATGTGTCTATGGGATATTGCTGATGGTAGATGTATAGAAACCATAAAAATGTCATATGCTCACAGCAATATGCAGGTACACTTACATTTGTACTCTTCAAGATAAAGAGTACATGTAGCCTTATCATTATAATGTATCATATTCATGAAGTCTTAACACCAAAAAATTACCAGAAATGATAGATTCAAATTTTGAATTTTTCAGATTTTGCTAAATTGGTACGATGGAATAAATCTTTTGCCTATCTATATATTCTCACTAGTTCTGTATTTTTTTTATTAATATTTTGATTACATACTAGTAGTATTCAATATTCATTTGAAATATAAATTTTTTTTTTTTTCAAAAATGTTTACACTTTGTCATATTAAAAAGAAACCAAACAATTTGGTTCAATCTGACACTAACTGACCTGATTACATAATTTTCATCTTTCCAATTTTTACTTGAAACCAATGTTTATAAATCATGTTTATAATAAGAGAAACAACTAAAAATAATTTACAACATAAAATAAAATGAATACGTTTAATATCACATTTTACAGGCATATCATTTCAAGAACACATCAGATGTTCGACTTGTATGTAACGGTTATTATCCAGAGATTGTTATAGTGGATCCATTGACGTTTGAGATCGTTCTAACATTAAGTTCACGAGTGTCTCCAGACTGGATCAGTGCTTGTTGTGTTATCAGACCAGCTAAAAGAGAAGGTAATGATTACTGTAACACAGTATGATATGTGTTCTAAAAATAGTAACATATGATATGTGTTCTAAAAATAGTAACATATGACATGTGTTCTAAAAATAGTAACATATGATATGTGTTCTAAAAATAGTTCGGGATAAGTCTAGCTACCATTGTGCCCTTTGAATTTGAAAACCAGTTGAAATCTTGAAAGTCTGACTTTAAGGTTATAAAACTTTTTAGCTCACCTGTCACAAAGTGACAGGGTGAGCTTTTGTGATCGCTTTTTGTCCGGCGTCCGGCCGTCCGTCGTCCGTCCGTAAACTTTTGCTTTAAATGACATCTCCTCATAAACCACTGAGCCAATTTCATCCAAACTTCACAGGAATGTTCCTTTGGTGGTCACCTTTAAAAATTGTTCAAAGAATTTAATTCCATACAGAACTCTGGTTGCCATGGCAACCGAAAGAAAAATCTTTAAATATCTTCTTTTAAACAACCCTAAGAGCTAGAGCTTAGATATTTGGCATGAAACATCTTCTAATGAGTGTCTACCAAGTTTGTCCAAATAAAAGCCCTGGGGTCAAAATTGGCCCCGCCCCAGGGGGTCATAGATTTTCCCTATATGCATATAGTAAAAACTTAAAAAATCTTCTTTTAAAGAACCCAAAGAGCTATAGCTAAGATATTTGGCATGAAACATCTTCTAGTGAGTGTCTACCAAGTTTGTTCAAATAAAAGCCCTGGGGTCAAAATTGGCCCCGCCCCGGAGGGTCATTGATTTTCCCTATATGCATATAGTAAAAACTTAACAAATCTTCTTTTAAAGAACTGTAAGAGCTAGAGCTTAGATATTTGGCATGAAACATCTTCTAGTGAATGTCTACCAAGTTTGTTAAAATAAAAACCCTGGGGTCAAAATTGGCCCTGCCCCGGGGGGTCATTGATTTTCCCTATATGCATATAGTAAAAACTTAAAAAATCTTCTTTTAAAGAACCCAAAGAGCTAGAGCTAAGATATTTGGCATGAAACATCTTCTAGTGAGTGTCTACCAAGTTTGTTCAAATAAAAGCCCTGGGGTCAAAATTGGCCCCGCCCCGGGGGGTCATTGATTTTCCCTATATGCATATAGTAAAAACTTAAAAAATCTTCTTTTAAAAAAATGTAAGAGCTAGAGCTTAGATATTTGGCATGAAACATCTTCTAGTGAATGTCTACCAAGTTTGTTCAAATAAAAGCCCTGGGGTCAAAATTGACCCCGCCCCAGGGGGTCATAGATTTTCCCTATATGCATATAGTAAAAACTTTAAAAAATCTTCTTTTAAAGAACCCAAAGAGCTAGAGCTAAGATATTTAGCATGAAACACCTTCTTCTTATGAGTATCTACCAAGTTTGTTCAAATAAAAGCCCTGGGGTCAAAATTGGCCCCGCCCCAAGGGGTCATTGATTTTCCCTATATGCATATAGTAAAAACTTAAAAAACTTCTTTTAAAGAACTCAAAGAGCTAGAGCTAAGATATTTAGCATGAAACATGTTCTAATGGGTGTCTACCAAGTATGTTCAAATAAAAGCCCTGGGGTCAAAACTGGCCCCGCCCGGGGGTGTCATTGATTTTCCTTATATGTGTATAGCAAAAACTTAAAATCTTCTTTGGAAAACCCAAATAGCTAGAGTTTAGATATTAAGCATGAAACATCTTTAAGTAAATATCTACAAAGTTTGTTAAAATAAACACCCGGGGGTCCAAACTGGCCCTGCCCCAGGGGTGTCATTGTTTTTAACTATATGTGTATAGTAAAAACTTAAAAAATCTTCTTTTAAAAAACCCAATGAGCTAGAACTTAGATGTTTAGCATGAAACATCTTCTTATGGGTATCTACCAAGTTTGTTCAAATAAACAAATAAAAGCCCTTGGGTAAAAATTGGCCCGGGGGGGGGGGCTATATACAGGTGAGCGACCTCAGGGCCATCATGGCCCTCTTGTTTAGAGGTCTCTCTCAAATCTCAGGATTTTTTATTGGTCAGTGGAAATTCTGTGGCAGTTTGTGACCAATCAAATACGTGAGATCTGAGTTTGAGCTAAGAATATTGTCTTTATCACCTCGAACCCAGGGCTATGGTAAGCATTAAATTCTTGTGTTTCTTTTTATTTAGATTTTATCAATTAATGATTTTAGACCAAAATGATAATGTAGAATATGTCTCCCAGAAAAATAGTAGAAGGAAAACCTTGAAATGAAAACTCTGCAGAAATGGGACTGTAAGAAGTGTTACAATCGTTGCTCAGTACTGATTGGTTCCAGGATTCAAAAGTGTGTGTCTATAAGCTTATAGCTTCCTACACAATCAAACTAAAATAAATTCTGTATAAACCAAGATCTTTGAGAACATATACTCAAAGAACACTTATAAAATAGAAATAACTAAGATATTAAGGTGACAACGGAGTCAATTATCACTGAAAATACCTAAAATGAGATTTTTTGCTAAGTAGGTTAATCAACCTTTTCTGAACACATTCGTGATTTAATTTTGGAAGCAGTTAGTCCAAAAATGTGTTTTTAAACGTTTTAAAACGGTACCTATACTATTTGTATCTGCTATTCGCGTAACCTGTCGATTATCGATAACGCTCCGCCCCCTGTTGAGGCATCAATGAGGGAAATCGGTAGTTCCATATATCTGTGAATTACAGGTCCATACTGGTCCATACTTCTCGTAATACATGTATCGTACAACTAACGTACATCTTTTATGAATATCTCAACATTTAGCCTTTTTTATAAATTAAGAAATTGTCGGCCAATGTGCGTAACATAATGTATGAAACATAAATAATTAAGCATAGCGGCAAATCGCACGACCACGGGGTTGATTAAAAATGTAGTTGCTAAAATATCCATAATGTGTGAAAATAATTTGTCTGTCCCGTTAATCTGATAGATATTAAGTTGAGTTGATAGACTTTTGTACGGATTCAAGGGCTTACTTTACATTCAACCTCGTTTTCTTACAATGTCAAGTAAAACAACAACAAAAACAGACAACATTTTTTTACGTGAACGCCTATATGACTTGTGGTAAGGTGTCCCTGACAAATTTCTAAACCATTTTAGATTGTCTAAGGATGGTTATTTCTCTATAAATAAAAAAAGATATTAAAATATATTCTCAGTGAAAATAAATTGTTCGCCAGTAAATCGGACACAGTACTAATAAATCTGGGACAAAGTATGGAATTTATTGTCTATCCCGGTAGAAACTGGATCTCTATGCCGTGCATAGATGATATTCATAATAGAAGTCAAGAAGGCCAGATCATAATGATCGAGTAATACCTTTTATTTCTATTAAAATATGTGAAGCATTATCAATTTGGTGGAAAAAAATATAATATCCCGTTCTTATTTGTACATCGTACCACATACTTTAGATGTCTGTCAGAAGCTAAGTATTTTTGTTATTTTATTTTATATTTTAACGGAATTTCATACACGAATACACAGGCAGAGTGACACTGGTATAATACAATAATAATGCTGATGATAATAATAATAAACTTCAAAAAGGAAACAATAAAATACCCCGCTAGCGGTGCGCAAATGCGTTCCATTTCCCCCACTGAGTGCCTCAAATTTTACCGATAGTCACATGGCATGTGCGACAGATACCAGACGGACAGTAAATCACGTTAAGAATTGAAGAAATTTCGGCTATAAACTGATATTTATTAGCAGCTTTTTATTGGTCAGATGTCACTAGGTCATAAAATGTTGTTAGAGTATGTCACCGCAACTTGTGACCCTCTCTGGTGCGATATTTGTGTATTATGCAATTATTTAGCGTGAAATGTAGGGGTCCGAGAGAGAACAGCCGATTTATGACACTTCGTTTGATGCGGGTCGGACTAACTTTGAATCGGCATAACTTTTTTAATAATCAATTAACATGCGGTTTAAAGCACATGAAAGGAAATTCATTTACGGAGGGAACCGTGTCAGGGATTTTTGTTTGCTCAATAGGCGACTTAATTATCTTTAATTACGTAATATGTATGTTGAAAAAAGTCGCATAAAATGTTTGACGTTACGTAATATTTTTTTGAGAAAAGATAGAAAAAATTTGAGACACGGTTCCCTAGATAATATAAGTATGGTTATTTTCCAAAAGTTTGATGACAAACAAATAAAAAATGACTTTGATATGACGATTTAAAATTTAAGGATTTTTATTCAAAATCAATCATTTACAAAGGCATTTTTTTCAAATATGTTATTTTTTTATGATGATCAACGACATTTAATGCACAAAGATTAAATTTGAATTTTGGGGAATAAATTTTTGTTAAAATTTATTGTGGCGGAAAATTCTGGCAGCCGAGAACCAGTCATGTTTATGTATAAATTTTTCAAAACCGTTTCTCTCGATGGCCTCTATGGTACATCCTTCGGGAAAATCGGTTCGTAAACTATTTACGCTTAAGTCTGTAGTCTGGTATATATTTCATCTATTAGATGGTCTTGTTTCGACAGAATATCCTTCTATAAGCTGGAATTACTAGATTACATTAATTTCAAAATTGGAATTTTTTATATGAGTCCTGGGTTTTGCTCAAAGCTTGCGCTATGCTCGGTATTTCCCAGGTGTCTCTTTGGCATTTTTAAGTAACTGAGTATTTGCTTAAAAGTTGCTCCCATTTATTACCGCATTTACGCAGTTGGCACCCTCGCATATTCAATTATGCAGTCTTGGCACGCATATGCCAGAAGTTATCGCATTTACGCATCTTGGCACCCTTGCATAGGGTAATTACGCAATCTTGGCACGCATATGCCGGAAGCAGGCACATCTGTCCTTAAATGCTCAGTAACTTTCGCATGTAAAATTTCTCATTTAACTGGTTTATTCGGTTGCTGGAATTTTCTTTGTTATGCTAGGGACATTTAGTTGTCATATCCTAGCATGACATATTTAGATGCGGCCAAACATTCCAATACATTTTATTTCTAGTCATAAAATTGTTTCTAGTCTCGACTTTGTTCCTTATAATGTTATTTTATGTTTATTATTATTATTGATTACATTAAATAAGTGGTACATGCTATGCTGGCATCAAGCTCTGAAATAAGCTTAAATAATTAAATTGATATGTAAAGTTATGAATTGTTTATTGATTATTCCAATCCATAAATAATACCGATTATTTCTGCATAGACATAACTCGAGTTTATTTTGGTAAGAATAATTGGGTTTTTCTTCGTGCTATTTTTAGCACATAATCGGACTGGTTCTGTTAATACTACCGGTGTCGAGTATAAATACCAGTCACCGGATGTACAATTCCTTTCCGCTTTTACAACCGAAAGAAACGCAACGTATTCCCACCCGCCACACCCATTTATCATTCAAACTACTGTGTATTATTGTCTGCATTATGGCATAATTTCAATAAATATATAGGAAATGTTTTTCATATATGTACATTACTGTGTTTATTGTTATAAATGACATGTTGTTTCCAATGGATACTGCTGCTGGTTGTGCTTATATTTCAGTTGTACATGAGGAATTTAGCGATTATTGCTGGCATACCTGTACCACAAGTCATGAGTAACTCCTAAGAAACACACTGACGGTGCCAAAGTTCCAACATCATCGTTTAAGCGGAAGGCAGTTTGGGAAAATATCGAAAAGATGTTCAAAACAAAACTTTAACAGTGTTTCGTTTATAACCAACTGGTGTTATGTTGACATTTATAAATATGTGAAAGGATAACACTTTAACAGTGTTTCGTTTATAACCAACTGGTGTTATGTTGACATTTATAAATATGTGAAAGGATAACACTTTAACAGTGTTTCGTTTATAACCAACTGGTGTTATGTTGACATTTATAAATATGTGAAAGGATAACATTTTAACTTGTATGAAATTGTGCAACAATGTTCATGTAAATTTTTTCTTGTCGCATCTTGACGGAAAATTCTGGCAGCCGAGAACCAGTCATGTTTATGTATAAATTTTTCAAAACCGTTTCTCTCGATGGCCTCTATGGTACATCCTTCGGGAAAATCGGTTCGTAAACTATTTACGCTTAAGTCTGTAGTCTGGTATATATTTCATCTATTAGATGGTCTTGTTTCGACAGAATATCCTTCTATAAGCTGGAATTACTAGATTACATTAATTTCAAAATTGGAATTTTTTATATGAGTCCTGGGTTTTGCTCAAAGCTTGCGCTATGCTCGGTATTTCCCAGGTGTCTCTTTGGCATTTTTAAGTAACTGAGTATTTGCTTAAAAGTTGCTCCCATTTATTACCGCATTTACGCAGTTGGCACCCTCGCATATTCAATTATGCACTCTTGGCACGCATATGCCAGAAGTTATCGCATTTACGCATCTTGGCACCCTTGCATAGGGTAATTACGCAATCTTGGCACGCATATGCCGGAAGCAGGCACATCTGTCCTTAAATGCTCAGTAACTTTCGCATGTAAAATTTCTCATTTAACTGGTTTATTCGGTTGCTGGAATTTTCTTTGTTATGCTAGGGACATTTAGTTGTCATATCCTAGCATGACATATTTAGATGCGGCCAAACATTCCAATACATTTTATTTCTAGTCATAAAATTGTTTCTAGTCTCGACTTTGTTCCTTATAATGTTATTTTATGTTTATTATTATTATTGATTACATTAAATAAGTGGTACATGCTATGCTGGCATCAAGCTCTGAAATAAGCTTAAATAATTAAATTGATATGTAAAGTTATGAATTGTTTATTGATTATTCCAATCCATAAATAAATAACAATTATTACTAAAATAACTTTGTTTAAATGAAATTTATGTGAGTACCACGGAAAGTGTCTGTTGTCACCTTAAGACTTTCAGTGAAATAAACAAGCATTTCTTTTACATAATACATTTCCCATATAGAACATCATATATATAATTTGTTTTGGGTAGATTTTAAGCTTTTTACAGTTTCATAGTTATTAAATTAATTACCTAGTATCTGTTTCTTTGTATATGCCAATGTCTGCACTCAGATTGGTTGGTTCTAAGAACAGATTCATGAGTGTTTTATTAAGCTTATTGCTAGTGTGTGTGTTTTTAGGTTTATTTTAGCTCGGCGCCGGAAATTCCATATGTCCGAGATCTCAGCGTCCATGCCGGTCCACTCTAGAAGTCTCATCGGGGACGTCTTTTTCATGCCGATCTTCCTAAGTCCTGTTCTTCGTTCGATGGAGGAAAGACAATACCGGAAAAGCATCAAGTTCCGTGACAGCTGCAAACAGGTGGTTTACATAAAACGGCTCTTGTTAGCGCCACCCTCCAGAGTTAGTCACGACAGGTCAACCAATCAGCTCTGGTACTTAAGATGACTTGACCTTGACCTGCCGTGTGCCTTCTCCGCAACATGCACGCCTCTGGAGGGATTTGGAGAAGAAGCTTATTGCTACCAACACAATCAAACTAAAATAAATTTTTTTCAGATGATGTAATAGTTGCCATCTCTAATTCTGGAGCAGTGAAGGTGTGGGTACTAAGTGGACAAGAGAATAGGGTAAAGTTTGTTGTAGTTGACTGAGACTTTGTTTTGTATAGTAACATCTTGTTATGTATGAAAATTTGCTAGAAAATATAGTCTTTTCAGTACTACTTTTGGTTTTAACTGAGATATATATATTTAAAATAAGTTTAGTTTGAACATATTTTATTTCTAAGAATATATATATATATATATATATACATGCTACAGTTTACAATATTCATTGTATGCACAAAACACTACAAATATTTATTTCAAAACAGGATTAGAATGGGAAACATAGTCTTATGAAATTCTTCTCCGAAATTAAATAAGTTTAAAATAAGAAATCAACTGTGTGCTCTCTATATGTAGATTAGTTAAGTGGATGATTTGTTTCCTTATCTTCTATTCTTACAAATGAACGTCACTGATGTGCTATAAATAGATCTTGGGATGCTGTTTTGAAGGAGGCTTAACTGTGATATGATGGACTTTTCCAAGATAAAATTACTGAAATACTTAGTTTAAAACAACCCATAATTGTTTTTCCAAAAAAATATAAAAACTGAAGGCCGCTTTAACTAATATGCTTTTTTATCAAAATTATATTTGTTTTACATGCTGTATTCTGGACAGAATAATAAAGATTTCATGATGATATACCTTTTGTTTTCAGTCTAAACCAGTCAATGAGGATGAGTCAAAACAAATCCGATGTTTGAATGCTCAGACATTGACATGTTGTCCCTACAATCAACGTACAGTTCTCATTGTCTGCTCTAAGTATTGGCAGGTGAGTGGCTTTACTTTGTTGTTACTTTTTGCGTACATACCCTTCATAGTGTTCGTTTTACTCTTGAGGCGGCAATTTGTCACAGATGTTTGAACAGAGACTTGTAAGAAGGCATTTGTTATTTTCGGGGTCTATACTCTCAGTGCCTGAAAGGGCAGACGGACCCTCATTAAGCCTTGAATACAAGCATGCATTTGATATTGATATTTTTGAGCTGAAATGTATGCAGCAGTGATATTGTTTAAAAAGAGGAAAAAGAAAAAACTGTTAAACGTCTTGATTGTCCAAAGGTTCTTGTTTAATGATTTAATGTTAATTGTTTGGAATCAGTCAAAGATTGGTTCATGAAAAGACTGACAGTCTTTAATATAAGCTCTAATCAGCTAGTAAAATTTGTTTTATTATTGAATAGAATGGAGTGTAAAATCTTTCAGAAAATTGAATTTAGGCTAGTAATTTGGAACCTTTAACTATCAGGCTTGTCTTGTAAGTAAAGTTTAATATCTGAATCAAAGTTTGTCATTATTTATAACCATGCAAGTCTTTTACATAATAAGTTTGAATAGTGAAACATTTATCTTATAGAATGACAAAGATATTTAATGTCAAAATCAATTAATTTTTACAAAGTATGCAATTTGGTGTTTACAAAATATCTGCTTTGAAGTATTGATGGCATAATTTCTTAACAGTTGCACATTTATGTCTTTCCTTTTCTTTTATAACTTCCCCCTTACTGCAAGATGAAAATCTGTTGATTTATTTAGTCCCACCTTCATCCCTCCCCATATTTAATTATTAAATTATTTAGATCAATATTTTAGATTCTAAAGTTTATGACATTTTTTTTCTTCAAAATCCTGAACAGTGATGCATGTTTTAATTAGATTTTTTACTTAACAGCTTTTAGAGTTAGGCTGCTTTTAGATGAACCAGTGTTTTATTGCATGAACTTTTCAACTTCACAGTGGTATACCTGTGCATTTTAAGCTCACATGAGTACAAAGTGCTCTAAGGTGAGCTTTTGTGATCACTTAAATGTCTGTTTATTATTAAAACCCTGAGAACTCTCTTGAAGTCACTTTTTTCTATCCGCTTACTGATGAACTTGTTTGGGAGCAATGACTGGGCTCTGTGTATCAGGTCTTGATTTCTGCTTTTTAGTCCAGAATCCTTCCATCGATTAAGTTCAGGTTTTGTTTGAGAATGGTTTAACCAGGCAACAAGATCATTTGAGAGGAAAATCTTCATTACCTACCAGACTTGGTCAAATTAATTTGAACCTTGGTTATTACAGGTTAATAAAGAAAATTGGTCAAATCTAGTTCAAGTAGTATAATGTAAAATCTTAATGTTAAAAATTATCCATTGACAAGCCAGGTAGGCTTTAGAAATGTGTTTTTTTTCACAGTATGAAATGACAACCTGGGGTGAGCAATCTGAGCCATAATGGCACTCTTGTAACTGATTACAAAATTTAAAAATTTTTTTTTTCGAGTCTACATTATGGTTGTGTATGTGTTACTCTTTTTTGCACCAATTATTTACATATAGATTTGTGTGAATTTTATCACCAACACTAACATGTATTCTTCTCTAGATTTTACTGTGTACAAATAATTCTTAAGTATAAATTTGATCATGGGAACAAAAATATGTTCAGGCACATTTTTTTAGCTATTTTAATTTAGTTAGAATTTTCAATTTTATGATATGTAAAAAAATGTTGTAATGAAGTTCTTGAAATAAATCATTACTGTATTAAAATCATCTCAATATATCTAAATAAATTATATTTTAATGACAATATTTTTCTTCTCCTGAAAATGAGTATATCGAGGGCTTTGTGTTGACATAAAAAAGAAGTTACAACATTTTTGCACCAAGCCAACAAATTATGCTAAACTACACATTTAGTCTGCTTGACTAGTCTCTTAGAAACAAGTTGAACAGTCAAATTCATGCTTAAGTTCATACTGACCATTCCTGTTTTCTAATATGATATTTATTCTATTGCTTTCATTCAAAGATTTATGTTTTAACATGTTCATGCCTAAATTTTGAAGGTATATGTATTTCGCCCTCCCACTGTGTTTTGGGAGGGGAACGAAAAACGGGTAAGATATATTGTTGTTGCCATAGAAACTATGTTGAATAGAAATGAGCCGCGTCAGGACAAAACCAACATAGTGCATTTGCGACCAGCATGGATCCAGACCAGCCTGCGCATCCGTGCAGTCTAATCAGGATCCATGCTGTTCGCTTACAAACCCTATAACAAGTAGAGAAACTGATAGCGAACAGCATAGATCCTGATCAGACTGCGCTGATGCGCAGGCTGGTCTGGATTCATGCTGGTCGCAAACCCATATGTTGGTTTTGTCATGGCAAGGCTCAAATCATGAAATTGGTTTTTTTCTTTCAGTTTACATTGAATGACAGTTTATGACTTTTAGGTTTTATTTATAAGTTTATAGCAGGATATTGTACTGTAAATGTGTCTGCAATATTATCTCTATATAGTCTAGTTTCAACTGGTTTAGACAAGTATTAGATTATAGTGTTTAGATACTTTTCACTTTTTGTAGAGAAAATTGTTGTTGAATTTTTGAATTTAAAAATAAAATGTTTTAACTATGAAAGTGAGAGTTCTTCGACAAATATGTGAACCACAGCAATACAGTTTTTTTCTTAAACATTTGCATTTTTATATGTGGAGTAAAATTTCACTGTTTGCTATTGAAGTGATAATCAACATAAATATGGGTGTGAAATATATAGCAATATATTGGATTTCCAAATATCTGACAGTATAATATCAAAATATGTTTTTAGATATTGCAATATATTGAAACTATGAAGGTTTTATAAAAAGCGTAGAATTCTATTAAAGTCAGAATTTTTTTCAATTTGTAAATAGCTTGACCTTAAATGGAATTTACGTAAGGTTGTTAAAACTCCCTTCATTTACAATGCCACTTTTTCCACAGTGAAATCTTTAAAAAAATGCCTCTTGTTAAGTGTATAATGCATTTAGACATAATATGATAACTATTAACTCATAAGGCAATGTTTTGTAGGTCTTATTTTAAAAAGTTCACCATACATGTATATTGCAATATATTGTCTGTAATTATTGCAATACATGAATGATTTTTCTTTGCAATTGCCAGCCCTAAACATAGAAAATATTCAAAATGTTATAGACTGCTCCTTAAGATGGTTTTATCTATTTATTAATCATAATGGTAACTCTAAAGCTTAGATTTATTCTTTGGGTGACTTGGAAGATTTTTTTTGATGATTTTAAAACTCATATTTATCGTCCCATATGTTTATGAGATGTGGGGGGTGGAATGCGAATTCTTTGTGAGTTGCTCTTATTTCTGATTTTCTATCTTTGTTATTTTTGTGCTGTTTGTTGTTAGAGAATTTGACATATGTCTTTCAGTTAGATAAATGTCTAATTATTATTATTAAGCTGTTAATAATATGCAATTTGAATGCTGTAATCCTGGTATCTACTTACAAAATGAAACTTTGATATTGAGGTAAAGATTGATCATTATTTGATGTAATACTGGTACCAACTGATGCACCCACTTTCAAATTAGTTACCCGTAATACTCTAGTATTTTCCGGATAGAGGACAGATAGAGGACATAATGTTTCTTGCTTCAATAGTTTGCAATGCTTCGTTATTTATATTTAGTCTGCATGTTATATAGAATATATTTGAGCCGTGTCATGACAAAACCAACATAATTGGTTTGCGACCAGCATGGATCCAGACCAGCCTGCACATCCGTGCAGTCTGATCAGGATCCATGCTGTTCGTTATCAGTTTCTTTACTTGTTATAGGGTCTGTAAGCGAACAGCATGGATCCTGATCAGACTGCGCGGATGCGCAGGCTGGTCTGGATCCATGCTGGTCGCAAACCCATTATGTTGGTTTTGTCATGACATGGCTCATTTATAGACAGAGCAGTCTGTGTCCCTTTATAATCTTTATAATTTGTTCTTTACTGATTCTATACTTGTGGGGCATTCATGGCTGATTGATTAAGACTTTTGTATCCAAACTACTTGCTCTTCCAATGCTGTGGGTTCGAATCCAAGCAAGGATTTGGATTTACTCATCTGAGGAAGACATCGAGCTAGCTTATGGAACATCAGTGTTTCATCAGTACTCAGGTCCCCCCATCACAATTGAGCAGAATTGAACTACCGACGTTCCATAAGCTAGCTAGATAACTTTCTCAATGAAAGAATTCAAGGTCACTGACAGTATTTAACCCTTAGCGGTAAATGGCAAGTGCTTTGAAGTCAATGAACTTAACCACTCTGCCACTGATGCCCCCAGTAAACAAAGACAATGGAAATGCCACTTGTAATATCATCAGCAGCTGTATTATAATGCTTTTTAAAGTAAAAACCTCTGATGTAAATGTTCAGAAATTGGAGGCTGAATATAAAAAGTAAGAAATTCAATACTAAAATGATGCAAATCACTAGAAAAATGTTAGAACAGATAATGTTTACGTTGAAGAAAAACATGATTTATTATATTGTTACAGAGCCCTATGCTTTTGGCTGATTTGTTGTGAATTTCTATGCATGTTTAGATAGAGAGGATGGGACATACTATTTGTTCTCTTGATATCAAGATTAGAATTTTTTTTGTTTACACATATCATTCTTAATGTTCTTAAAATTGAGAATTAGCTATTTATTGCGGTCCTGTTCAACTATGTTAATATAACAACTTTCTTTGTTGAGATACCCCCTCTCATAGAAAAGCTCAACCTTTCAATATGAAATATCTGAAATGTGAATTGCAAAATGGGATTGGTTGGTATGGCAAAAGTCATGGTCCATTCACACAAGGAAATGACCAGTGAGTGTAGAGCAACAAGAATACCCAATGAATGAACAATAAATAGGTTTTTTAGAAATGTTTTTCTTTATATATGACATTTGTGTTATGTAAAAACAAAAAACGTTTTATTTTAAGAAGATGGTATTTGATCAGGTTATTTAATTATAAAGCATGAAGAGCAGTATTTTAAGAGGACCTTCAACTCATTGCACAGTTAATATAAATGATAAAAAATGAATTCTGCAGTTTTTGTTGTTGTTTTTTTTGTCATTATTGAGTAGAAATACTGAAATGAAATTTTAACATTGAAATGTTTTACATTTTGCAGATATACGATGCAGGAGACTTTACATTATTGTGCTCCGAGTCGAATCGTTGTGGTGAAAGGTGGGCAGGCGGTGATTTCCTCAGTGTGGACAAAGTCGTTGTCTGGAGTAACGAAGGAAAAGGATATCTTTATAAACTTCCTACAAAGTAAGTCAAACATTGTTTAGAAAAGCCAACAACATTTCAAATAACTTTCATTAAAAAAAGCATGGAATATTTGACATTTTGTCATTTTGGGTCTTTGATTTTGGTCAAATTGTCAGTTTTCATTCTGACCTTGGCCTTATAGTGAGCTTTGTAGATCAAAAATTATTTTTGGGATTAGAAAATAAAATTTCATATTTTGTTACAAGAAAATAAAGTCAATTTGAAATTTATGTTTTATCTGTATTGATAAGCATTCAATTCATTTGTTATTTTGGCATGTTGTGAAACTTGTGGAATTGAAATTTGCAATGAATATGAATCAGTAAGCTGTAGGTACATGTATTTGATTTAGTAATAACTTAGTTTCTAGGACATGCATTTACATTTAAATTCTTCACCATTACTATAGAAACAAGCAGTGTTCACAATAATTTATTGCACTTTATCAGGCTTTCAGTATTGTCATGGTATTTTTATGTTTTATAAGTGGTATGCATGGAGAAACTGTCATATAAAAATAATGGTATATTTTGATTGTGTTTCCAGAATAAGTTTGAGTTTAATTGAAGGATTTTATGGCTAAACTTTATGGACATGTTACAGACCATGTAGCTGATACAAGAACCATTTAAATACCTTGGGAGGGTCAAAACATCATTTTTGGGGAAGGGGCCTCAGCCTTTTTCTTGGGGAAAATATGGGTGATTTTGGCATACTTTGGGAAAAGGGGTCTCAAATTTAACACAAACTTTTAATAAGTTCTTCAAAATAGAAAAGCAAGAAGCACTTGGAAATACTAATAAGGCAGTAAAAGACCTTAATTAACACCATCATTTAATTTTGTTCAAAATTCTATGGGAAATTTCAAATTACTGGGGACTTTTGAGGACCAAACTGGGGAAAAAAAGAGGCTTGTTTGGTTGGGGAAGCAGCCTATATTCGACCTCTAATAAGAAGGGATTTTTTTGCCCTGCAGTTGGAATTTACTGAAAATTGTAAAAATACCCTTAAAAAATGTCTGCAAACATATTCTAGGCCATTCCTGTCTGCATATGAATCGTACATGTATATTAGTATATTGTATAATTGTGTATTTTAGTGCAGTAACAGGTTAAATTGTTATATAATTGAATAGGAGTTAACCTGTTACTGCACTAAGGGAACAATATACATTTCATGCAGCATAGGTACACCGATATCACGGATATGTGTAAATTTTTGTATGAATTTCAGTATGCTTGCATAAATATTATCTTGTTTGACTACAAGAATAAAAAAATTCCATCTACAAAATGAAGAAAATTTCCCATTTTGAATAAATAATGAACAGCAAAGTATGTTCATTTTCAGCAACAAGAAAGAGTAACTTATGCATATATATTTTTCTTCTGTCTATGTATTCTGTATGTTTAACATAGACTAGACTAGATTTCATGTTTTGACAACAATATATTAACACATGTATTTTATTTGACACCATTTACATTGTGTGTTTTAGATTTTCTAACATGGTACTTGTGCCTACTGGTTACAGTGTTTAAAGGGTTGAATGTCCTAATTTATTTTGTAATTTACTAATGCCAATTACTTTGAAATCATTGTTTGTATATACATGCAAATATCTCTCACAGTTTATTCAGGAATTGTGTTGGATAAGTGGTTGATCACTTGCGGAGAACTTGGAAATTACTGGTTAGTTATCCAGGAAAGCTAGCCTGGGATTTAAGCTTGATATTTTTTACATATTTATAACATATGGGCTATTTCATACTCGATAATATTAATATCAATTTACCGAATAGAAGCACATAAAAAAAATCCACAGACTGGAACCCAGGCTACAGGAAAACTGGTTAGGTGGACTGTCTGGTGAGATACGACCAAAAATGTTTTATAATCAACACCAGAAAAAAACCCTCAATATCTTTTAATTTTATTGGGACAATATTATGATGATGTTTTTACCTCAAATGTAATTACTTTCTGATATAATTGTTCCAAACATAACTGTCATAACATTACTTTCTTTAACATAAATGTTTTTAACCTAGCTGTTTTATATTGCTGTTTTTAACATAAATGTTTTATAACTTAGCTATTTTTACATAGCTGTTTTACATAACTATTTTAACAAAGCTGTTTTACATACAGGTAGCTGTTTTTACATAGTTGTATTTAACATAGCTGCTTTAACATAACTATTTTTAACATACATTGTACATATCTGTTTTTATCAGAGCTATTTTTAAGTGCACACCATTTATAACAATATTGTAATATTTAACCTTCTACCTTATGCAAAAGCCCTCGTTAATAATAAACTGAGGTGTGTTATAACTATAATTGGAATCTGGTTACATACTGCTTCTTATAGCATGAAATATTTGTAGTATATATTTTTGCTGATAAACATGTTCTTACCATTCTAAATAACTTATATGAATTATGCCATTTATGTTAAAATTAGTACTATCTTGTGAGTCACTTATATTGATAGACAATTTATTGGTTAACAAATTTGAATCATGTTGTCAACGTCAGGAACTACATAGCCCAGATCTTAAATATATGACATGTATCATTGCCCTAGTACTTACTTCTATATAATTTATGTCAATCAAGTTCTCGGTGTGTCTTAAATTCTGAGCCATGGGGTTACTGTTGTTATTTAAACTTGTAAACTTGTTAGCAGAAGTTAAAAAAAACTTTATGTCAAATGACCTACTTTTGTGTTTTTCCAAGCTAAGATCACAATTAAAGATTTTTGTGCTAAATAACATTTCACATTAGATGACCTTGAACTTTACCCTGTTGCTTTCGAATTTTTAAGCAATGACCTTAAATTTTGACTCCAGTTTTGTTTGTGGTATTTTGTTTTTAGACCTTTGATAATCAAAATGAGAACAATGTGATCGACTTTAAACTAATATTGTCATTCATTACATTGCACCACTGGTACATTATCCAGGGTGACCTTGAATGTGACCCAGTGACCTACTTTTACATAGAAATATTATGATTTTGTCTTGCAAAGGTTCTCATGTGACCAATAAAAATGTGTTGTTGTGTTTTTTGTGGGCTGAAAAAAAAATGTGATTCTAATGCACTTTGAAATTCATGTATTAATGTTTTGTACCAATATATGATTAATATAATCAAAATGATTTATTTTGAAAACTCTGTTGAAATAGTAATTTAAGTAAGCTTACAAATTCACTGTGTTTTTAAAAGCCTGCTGAAAGGGAGAGTACTCCAAAGGTAAAAATTTTGGTTTTGATTTTTTTCTTCTAATTAATTTTTTTTTTTTTACATAATGTGTTTATAGAAGGTGACATTGGTACAGATGAGGTTTTGGAAAAAAATTCATTTCCCAGTTTCTTACTTATTGACAAGCTTTTAGGGAAATTTGAAGTGACGTTTAATCTACAGGTGTGAATTGTGCACAATAACAATTTACTTTTATTGAGATTTTCTGAATACAATTTTTGTTTCTGTCACAAAGTAACCCAATTATTTTGAACACTTGGATTTTTTTTTAATTTTAGGTCCACAATATTTGTTTATTCAACTTATCTTTACCTTTGCACCTTTAATTTGTACAATGTGTGTAACCAGTATCCAAGTCAATGAGATTTTCCCTTTATTTTTAGTTTATTTCCCTGTTTGTTGTCATGGTGATGGGAGTAAAGCCCGATTTTTTAGTTTAGTTAGTTATTTTGCTAGAATTTAGAATGTGTCTGCACTTTTTCTAAAAACTAAATTATTTGATTTCTTAACATTTAGTTAAGTCTCAGAAGTCAGTGATACTTGTGTAAAGAGTTTGTGTTTGGGCTATAGTTGTGGTAGTTATTTGATTCAATAAGGGAATGTTTCTCAGACCAAATCAGAATACAAAGTGCAGACAAATTCTAAAACCAGATTTTCTAGATTATAGTTTATTGTTTATTTCTAAACAATTAAGTTTTTTACTGTGACAAAATTGTCATTTTTCTCAACTTTTTTGTATTTATTTATTTTTTTTCAAAATTTTGTGTGCATCTTAAATTGTTCATATTCTCTGCTCTTAAGAAATAATTACTGGCTTGGAAATTTGACACCTGAAAATGCGGGGTAGGGGAGAAAATACTTCGCATTGACACAGTATATGTAATATCATATGGTGACTTTTCAGCTTTACTGGTAGCGGAAGACCTCAGGTGCCCTTCCATGCATTATTTCAGGCACGAACGGGCACCTGAGTAGAACCCCCGATGTTCGGTAAGCTTGCTTGATAGCTTCCTTACATTAAAGAATTCAAAGTTCCTATCAGGATTCGAACCCACAACAGTTAGGGGTAAGTGGTTTGTAGACAATGACCTTAACCATATGGCCACAGACACCATGCCTTCATTTATAATTACTTAAGAATAAGATAGAAAATGAGGTTGAAATAACAGTGTACAGAATTCGTACTGGTTTATTTATTTTGACATTCTAGGACAGACATCTCAAGCTATGTATGGTTTAAATGAAACAGTTGTCCATATCTTATTTTTTGTCTGTGGAACTTTAATACTTACTTTGAAGGATGGGTGACAATAACATTATCTTTTAAACATTTAATAAATTCCGATGTAAATATGATATTAACAGATTTCAGGGTAGTCTATAATACAGGTGTGTAATCTTACAAATTTTATGCTCCCTGTAAAATTCTCGGAGCATAAAGTTGCTGCTTCGTCTTCCTAAGTTTCATACTTGCAAAATTTTGTCGCCCTCTTGCAGTTTCCATTAACAACTTTATTTAGTGACTATATATTTCATACTTCATAGGTTGATACTTTAGATAGACCTCTAACTTTGGGTGGAGTTAAGTGTTACTTGGGTCAAGGTACCAGTTTTAAAATACAATGTAGCTTTTTATACTTAATTTAATGACAAATGTCTTTCATATTTGGTTAGAATATACCAAGGGTTGATGGCAAAACTGTTGAAAGTCCCTCTTTATTTCATTTAAGTTCTTACAGTTTTGCGGTCAACACACAATACCTTATGTGGTCCTCTACCTTTGGGTGGAGTTTGGTAGAACTTGGGTCAAGTTCAAGGTCACCAGTGTTAACAAATAGATTTTAACACTTTTGTTATAACTTATTTATCAATGCTACAATTTGGTTTTGGTGTCTTATCAAGTCCAACACAATACTTTATTATTGCATGGAATTCGAAGTCTGAATTTAGATAAATAAAATTATTTACACACTTCTAGAATAGCCCTCATAAAAAAAGGGTTTTAATGTCGTTCGAATTTGTTTTTAATATGTTATGGTTCATGTAACAATTTATATGTTTCATGTCTATGCTTTCTCTTTCCTCTGATTTAGTTGTCACATGTAAGTAATGGCCTTGCATAATTTCATACTTAAAACTGATGTAACACAAACTGGTACTTACTGATAGTTAATGCAATGTTACGTTTACTGCAACTAAATAATCATGTATAATCTACTCACACTGTTATACAAGCAATGTTTGGCTTAGTTTTAATGTTGCTTAATTAAAGTTCAAACACTCTAACATATATATTAACAAATAGATCGGAAAAACATTCTTTCTTCATGAAGCGCGTAAGGAAAACTTTTCCTTGGTGAAATATCTCTCCTCTTGCTTTTTTGCTTTTAGCCGCATTAGGTTACGCAAATGAATAAGGTATATAAAGATTATTGCATAAGCGTGCTTTTTTGATTGGTTATATCAGTTTGAAGATCGTGGAAAGAGGTTTTCCCACAATCCATCAGTGTTGTAAATACAACTTCACCTACCGGTAATCATAGAGCAAGATATAATCCACAAGAAAGCACACCGGTGCAATTTTACTTTTATTATGTACCTTCTAAAATGCCGAAAGAGAATCTTCACAAATCAAAAGAACTATTTTTCATTTAAAATAGGTGTATGAATATAACGTCACTGAATATTCATTATGTAACAAATGAGGTTTAGAATGTTGAAAACCGATCCTGTTATATATGTATCACATTATTTAAAATGACCATATTTAAAGCAGAAAACCATGGGTATTCTGGTATAATAAAGTATGATTCTTTAGCTCTGTATTAACATATTAATTGATATATAGAAATGCTTGCAACTAATAAAAATAAAAGTACATGTATTCAGAATGTAATTTCTTTTACTTCTTTATCATTAATAGCGACTTTTCCGCTCTTTTTGCCTTGCTAAAATTTCATCATAATATGAAAGTTGTGTTGTGAAAACAAAAACAGTTGAACAAACTTATCTGATATTGAAAAGTAAACTTCAAAAGACTTTTACTTATATTGTTAAGGGGGATTACTGTAATTTTTTCTGGGATACCTTTTGAATAAAGTACCATAGTTAAGAATGTAAAAAAAAATCAATTTTCATCTAGCCATTCTCTATTAATTCTACAATTTTTGGGACTGGATTACTATTTATTTTGATAAAATATTGAAATGAAATTGTTTGGGATGCCCATGAACATAAAACATCAAATGAGGAGGACAGTAAAAAAGAAAGATGAATAATGAAAAAGAAAGAAAAAAAAATGTTATCTAAACTGTAAATAAATATCACCTGGTTACTTTGAATGTAACAGATGAAAAAAATAAAACATTCCAATAAATAGTAGCTTTAACTTTAACATTATTATGTTCTATATTTAAATGTTTTGTTCTGTCATAATTTCATGTTAAGTCTCTACAAAATGAACATACTGGTGAATGGTATCACTCTAACTGTGCACAAAAACTTACAACAATTTCTCATTGATCTACATGATTTTTAAAAGATATGATTTTTAAAGGAGCCATTTTATTTGAATAATTGCTGTTCTCCAGTAAATAGCTATAAGTCAGGGTTTTCTTTAGAGTTATCAATTTATTGACTATTTTTTGAGTTAATATAATGAGTTTTGTTACAGTATAGTTATGTACAAGCATGTAGTTGCTGCTGGTTTTAGGCTTTATGTTGTTTTCCCTGTTTTGCTGTAACTGTGCTGCTAAGATGAGTGGGGGAAGTGCTGTAGGAATAGAATAGTTTGTTTAGTTAAATAATCTCTCTCTCTTTTATTATGTCATGATTACTGTATATATAACTAATTATTTGTTTGCACACATATATTATATATTCTTTAAATTCATTCATTATTTTCACTTGTATCAAAAAATGTTTAATTTCATTTATTTATTGTAATTATATGCTCTCCTGATTGTGGCTGCTCTCTGGAAGAAACAATATTGATTGATGTTGTCAACTAATAATGTTGGTTATTGTGCACTGTTTGAATATGTAACACATGCCTCCCATCCCATGACCAATGTAGTGTGTAGTGAAAAAACAGGGGAAAAAATAAGCAAATTTTTTATCTTTTTTCTGTCCCTGCTCTGGAAGGTCAATGTGGTGGTTTTATTTTGGTGAAAAGGTAGCCGAAGGTGTGACCAACTTGCAGTGTTATAATATGTTTTGGTTGGAATTTTACTGTTTAACTGCCTCAGTTTGAAGAGTTTTTTACCAGGAGTTGGAAATTCAAAAGTTAAAATTCCAGCTTATTCTGAAGGGTGTGGGGGTGGGGGCCATCGTTACAATTGACTAGTGCTCTGTATCAATCCTAATTTTAAGCACATTTTTCGTAGGGTCTTTCTCAATCATAAAAGCTTGTAATTTGCCATATTACCATCACCATGATACAATGTTGTCTTATTGTGACAGAAAACTAACATAGAGTAATGATTTTATACATTCATCTACATTTATGCATTCTGATTTCACCTCATTCAATTTGAAAATGCTTATATTTTGAAGGAAATGTTAGATTTTATTATATAAATATTGTCATTGAAGTAATACTTTGCACTTTATTAGATTAGAAATGATTAATTATTGAAAGGTCATTACAAATAAATCTTTACTTTTAATATTTTCAGTGCTAACTCAGAGAGTGAGGCTTACCATCTCAAAGCACCATCTTCACCACATGCTTACTATGTCCTTGATTTCTACTCTGAAAAGGTATACACTTTAACCATTACTTTATAATGTGAAACCTTTCTTCTAGCGAACCCATAACGTTCTGGAACTGAAAGTTATTAAACTATGCCACCAGTATAAAGTCAGGCCGGCCTGAACTACTGTGCAATCTGACAAGTCCATTTAAGAAATTCAGCTGGTTAAGGGTCAAGAAAGGTCATTGGTTTTTAATCATTTGCCAGACTATGCACAAAATGATTTACTGAGGAGCATCTGTTTGAAAGCTTGAAAGTCACCATTTTCCCTGTACTTTGTCTGTTTGACTTGAATCCGTACAAAACAAACAAACTGTTACCAACATGCTTGACTTAAAGCCTTACAGAACAAACCAACATAGAAAATAAGAAACATAAAAAATCTGTATACATTTATTGAGGAGTTAACATGACAGACTGATTAATAAAACATCATATTATGAAATAGGGCATTGTGTTTTTAATTCTATACATCTAGGTTCTTTTAAAGTGTTCTTAAGTGCATTGGTCTATAATGGAAGTTCTGTAATACAATGAATATTTACATTGATGTTATTTAGTATCAGAGATAACAACAAACCACAAAGGAATCATACATGGATGTTGTTGACACGTGTGAGATACATGATCCAATACATGTTTTATGTATGCTTATACACTGTATAGCAGATAATAAAGTGTTGTAGACCAAAATATTATTATTATTTATATAAATTTTTATACTTCATCACTTCAATCAACATTTTTTTTCAAACAATATTTTATTAGAATATCCACATGATACATATGGTGGTGATATGTGTGTTCTTGTTAAGTTAGCCTTAAATGAACAAGTTTAGGTTACGCACGCATTTTAAAATGAATATAGTAGCTTTATAAATCATATTAAAACAAAAAGTAATAAAAACAAAGTATAGTTTGTAATTTATTTTATATTTATTTACAGACCCTCGCTTGTTCACCTGCAGTAATTCTACATTCAGCATTAAGGGGAGATAATCAGTCACCTAAATTGTTGGTGCGCGGGGACTCTGAAGGTCAGGTGGTAATATGGAAACTACCAGAAGTATCGGAGCGACAGATGACTTTGGTTCGACAGGAAAGCTTTGATCGACTACCAGGTAATTAATGAAATGCTAAAATGCTCTGTCGAGACCACGGTCCAAGGTTTTATAAAGAAATTCTATAAGTGCAATCTCATATCTCAGGTATTTGATTGGTCAGAAACTGCCACAGAATTTACACTCGAGGCCATATCACCTCATTTACATTTCAGCCACACTCTGCTTGATTTGAAATTAAAGATTTAAGAAGTTTGATCAAGTTTGGGTTTTGGCTTGTTATGAAGTTGTTTACATTTGAATATCACGTTTTAATAGCCATTTGATTAATTGGGTATAATGATCAAGAAACAATGAAATTTTAGTTTCGTATAACCAAATAAGTTCTTTTATGAAATCAAGGAGAGAAACTTTATTATTTTTCCTATGCCTGTAGAAATCTTTCGTATGCTTATAGAATATATTTTCCAAGGAAAAAATTCAAACATGTAATTTTTTTCTATATTTTCAGTTTTATTACCAAAATGTTCTGCAACATTACAAGATATATGGGACAAGCTTAACCAGTCTCCAAATGGAATCTTAGATGGCTTTGTAAGTTGCAAAAACATATTGTCATTACATTTAGAACCAGTTTTAGCCATAAACTATTTTAAGCTGCATGCCTCCAGAGAGCAAAAAATATTTCAAGAAAATCAAACTTGAGAAAAATGTATTACGATTTTGAGAAAAGGAAGAAAATTCAAGCGATAATGTCCATGTTGTGTTTGATTAATGATTGATTTGGTGTACATTGAATAATGACTTATTTGGTGTACATTTGTATTTATAGCCATATTTCTTCTGCGTGACTAACATAGTATGGACTATTTTTATGTATTTTAACCTCTTTTTGGTAATTTATGTGTATTGTAAGACTGTTTATATATATATATTTTACTTTCTTTGTTCACTTCACAATATTTTACTTCCAAATGCATTTTCAAAATTTTTATTAATATTAGCATGAATCTGGAGGCATATTGCTTTAACTGTTTTGAACATATATAAATATGACAACTAAAGGTTTTTCACGTGAAGTGAATAGATGATGACTTCCACAAATTTCTTGTATTACTGGACTGTAGCATACAAAGTAAGGCAAACAAAATTTCTGTGATTTTGACACATAACAAGTTTGTTCATGTTTTCATTTTATGGATGGGATATTTTACATCTATAGATTAATGTTAGTGAAACATGATTATGGTGATATATAGTGAATGTTTTATTAGTATACTATGCTGATGGGTTGTATTGCACGAGACCTTGGTGCAGGCTTGCAGGAATACAACTTCACATAATCAACAAGAGTAATATACTCCATCAGAATAACAAACTTGTTAAATTTTCCTTTCATTAATTTATTTTCTGTAAAAGACTTTTAGAAAATCTAAAAGAAAATGAAGGATTTATTTTAAATGTACAATATAGAATATTTCGTATATAATGAATACAGTAAGAAAGATAGCAAAACATGGTAAAGCAATAAATGTTTAATTCTCCATTTCTATTTTTAGAAAGAGGTTGAGGATAGAGCTATGATAACTTCTACTGTATACATTCCATCACAAGGCAAGCTAGCATGCGGCCGATCTAACGGGACCATTATTATTCTACCAGCAACAATGTGTATAATGTTACAACTGCTAGACAACAGATTGATGAGTCATGAAAGTGAGCGAAAAAAAAATCTCTAATTCTTGCACTTAATTTTATCACAGTCAGGGGCGGCAAAATTACTTTTCTGCATTGCCTAGGCCCTGTGTTCAGAAAGATTTAAGGATCAGTATCAAGATTAGGAAAACTAAAAACTTTAATATTCTTCATTGTTAATCCTAATAGATTAATATCTAATAGATAAAACTGGACTTGCAATAGCAAGTTTATGAAATTTTAGAATAAATTTATTGTTATTTTTCCAAGATTTTGCAAGACGGGCATTTTACAGATGATCAAAATATTGATCCTGATCCTAAAAATGATCCTTATTTTGATCCGAATATTTTTGTATTTGTTTTGTTATTTGTTGATTTTATCCCAAAATAGTTTGGTTTCTTTGCAAATCAGCAAATTTTTACATTTTGACTATTTACCATTTAATTCTAGCAAAACCCAATTAATTTTAGCAACATTTAGAATTATTTAGCAACAAGAATTTACTACATAAATATCATGCAAACAAGTTAACACATGCTTCAGATAAAAAACGGGCAAATAAGTCAAAATCAGATTTTGCTGGCCCTCATTGTGTATTTGACTCATTCCGCTTTGAATTTGAAACAGATCAAAATTACGGATCCATACCAATACCTAAAAATTAAAAATTGAGGATGTTATGCCTTACAGTGTACATAAGTTACAGGCTTTGTTACTAGTGACATATGTCTTGTCATCTTAGCTGCTGACATGCAAAGAGTCAAAATAAATACATACCTGTTAACTTTAAATTTCATTTATTTTCGTCAGATATGTTGACTTCAGA